AAAAAAAAAAAAAGAAAGAAAGCCCTTCTGACCTGCCGACTCCATGGGTCAGTCGTCTCCTGTGTCCAGGCCAGTCTTGTCACCCACACTGACCTGGTTATACTTGTGTATTTAAAAAAATGCCGTTTTTGAATCAGGTGCATGTGGAGGGGCAAAAGGGTTCTTAGATTATGAGGTAGGTCCCAGATAACAGAGTCCAGTCTATAGAATTTTCGTGTTTTTCTTTTTCTTTTTTTTTTAAGATTTTATTTGACAGAGACACAGCGAGAGAGGGAACACAAGCAGGGGGAGAGGGAGAGGGAGAAGCAGGCTTCCCGTGGAGCAGGCAGCCGGATGTGGGGCTCGATCCCAGGACCCTGGGACCATGACCTGAGCCGAAGGCAGACGCTTAACAACTGAGCCACCCGGGTGCCCCACGTCAGTGTTTTTCTTAATGCATGCTTAATGAAGGCTTTTTGGTACAGATACTGACAACAATCTGGCAGTCATAGAGGCCTCCTCCAGGTCTTGAATGCAATAAGTCATGATATAAGGATACTATAAAATATGCCTCAGAGCAGAAAGCTGGCTAAGTGGAAAATATTCTCAGTAAATGTGAAGAGGGGTAAAAGATGCCTCAAATCGTATCTGGAGGGTAAGGGCACACCAGAGAATAGAAAGGGAGCCATTGTGTCTTCGAGGGGAGAACACTCAGCAAATGAGAAGTGAAATTACATTTATTGCCATATTCTGACCCTGCCTGAGCCCAGTGGGAAGAAAAAGAACTAAAAATAAATTCCATTTTTATATACGAAGGAATCAGTGCAGGGTTGAAAAGGCTACACTGAAAGCTCATCAGAACATACCAGGGCATGTTTTAGTGTCTCATTAATACACACCCCATTGCTGTGTGCATCTCAGGGCCACTGCGGCCTATGGTGGTACAGGAAGCAAGAATTTTATGGAGTCTTCATTCACATCCTGGAGTTTCTTAATGCACTGTGACCAAAATACCATCTGGGAAGGCCTAAGAATTACAGCAGTCTTGGAGCAAGGAAACAACTTCTGGCCACCTGCAATTTCAGGCCTTGGCCCCTCCACCTGTGTAGTCGTAGTCCCGGGTGGGCCTCTCGTGGCATATGTCCCCTCTCGGAGCCCTTGGAAACATTTAAATGCCCAGGGAAAGAAGAACATGGAGCACAGGGTTGTGCACTAAAGGCAGGACAGCCAACTCCCACTTACTTTAGGCTCTCTCATTGCTGGGAGCTTTTGCTATATTGAGAAGATGAAGCATATAGCACATTCCCAAAAACAGTTCACAAGCGTCCGCTTGGTGCCAGGAAGGACCAGTGTCAGGACTGCTGAGGAGCTGAGGAATATGGTTGAGACTGCACCGCAAATGGTTCAGTTGATGGAGCATGCGACTTTTTTTTTTTTTAATTAGAAAAAAGGAAAAAAAAAATTTTAAGTGATCTCTACCCTCAGTGTGGGGCTTGAACTCACAACCCCGAGATCAAGGGTAGCGCAGCTCCACCGACTAAGCCAGTCAGGCACTGCGAGCACGCGACTCTTGATCTCAGGGTTGTGAGTCCGAGCCCCATGTGAGGCGTGGAGTTTACTTAAAATAAAATTAAAAAGAGGGGTGCCTGGGTGGCTAAGTGGGTTGAGCGTCCCACTCTTGATTTTGGGTCAGGTCATGATCTCTGGGTCGTGGGATTGGGCCCTGCACTGGGCTCTGCACTCAGCTTGACACTCTCTCCCTCCCTCTGCCCCTTCCTCCCCCTGCTCACTCTCTCTCTAAAATAAATAAAGTCTTTAAAGAGAGAGAGAGAGAGAGAGATTATACTACAAGAACACCAGATGAGCTTTCCAAGGGAGATATGAAAGATAACACTTTATAGTCAACTCTCTACCATCTGTTGTTCATATGAATTCAGCAGAATAGGAAAAAAAGCAGAGGTTTAGGAATCACACAGACTTGTTCAGCATCTACTCACTGGGAAAGCCACCATCTCGAGTATATTCATTTTATTCATCTGTGCATAAGAGATAACACCCCCTATCTAAGGGTACCTGCTGTGCTGTGAGGTTCAGTTAGAAGGCACACACATGCACACACAAAACCTCAAGGACGGGCGCCTGGGTGGCTCAGTTGGTTAAGTGACTGCCTTCGGCTCAGGTCATGATCCTGGAGTCCCGGGATCGAGTCCCGCATCGGGCTCCCTGCTCGGCGGGGAGTCTGCTTCTCCCTCTGGCCCTCCCCCCTCTCGTGCTCTCTCTCTCTCATTCTCTCTCTCTCAAATAAATAAATAAAATCTTTAAAAAGAAAAAAAAAAAAAACCTCAAGGACATTGCACATCATATGTTCTCAAAAAGTCTGTGTTCTCTTTATTAGTCTTAAAACTTTCTTTCAGGCTTCTAGGTAGCCATTCGAATCAATAGTTTTATGGACAATGAACGATAAGAGGCCATTTTTTGCATTAATGGTTTTCTTTATGGAATCATGGGGATACCTCTGAAATACACATGACATTCCAAAGATGCATTTCTCAAAAAATATTTTTTAAAGATTTCATTTATTTATTTGAGAGAGAGAGATCACAGAGGCAGAGGGAGAGGGAGAAGCAGGCTCCCCACTGAGCAGGGAGCCCGATGCAGGGCTCGATCCCAGGACCCAGAGATCATGACCTGAGCTGAAGGCAGCCGCTTAACCAACTGAGCCACCCAAGCACCCCTCAAAAATGTTTTTAAACATTTGTTTTTAAAAAGCGTTAAGATTTTCATTTGGTTTACGGTCAAGTCCTCACTGGAAGTTGCTAAGTCCTTGGAAAATACAACCAGTCTAGGCAAAACAGAAATATAACTGTGTTGAAAAAAAAAGTTATAAGTTACATTTCATTTTTTTTTAAAGCTTTTATTTATTTGAGAGAGAGAGTGAGCTATCATGAGCAGGGGGAAAAGGTAGAAGGAGAAGCAGACTCCCCATTGAGCAGGGAGCCCGACATAGGACTCGATCCCAGAACCCTGGGGTCATGACCTGAGCCAAAGGCAGACATTTAACCGACTGAGCCACCCAGGAGCCCACAGATTACATTTCAAAGATGAATAAGCAGTTTTCAAACTGTCCTCTTTTTAAATTATCTGTAGCTGCACTGTCCAGAATGATAGCCACTAGCCCATTTAAATTAATTAAATTTTCATTAATTCTAGCCACATTTTAAGTGCTCAATACCCACATGTGGCTAGAGGCCATCGTCCTGGACAGTGAAGGTACAGCTCCATTGTAGAAAATTCTACTCGACAGCTTTGCTACATATGGGGAAGAAAAAAACAACAATCATCTTCCAAAATAGGAAATACTCCAGTGTGTCAGTTTTCTGTGTCAGGACATCCTTCAGTCTAACGAGTCAATATCCTGCAGTCTCAGGAGGTGTCCTGCTATCCCTGCCTCTAAACACGAGCTTCCATGGCTCCATCAGTTAGCTTAGAATTCCAAACAATTAAGGAAAAGTAACTCTGTGAGGGATGTGAATGAGCACCAGCTCCTCCACAGTGCAGTCAAGAATGACGTCTGACGAACCATGAGAGACGATGGACTCTGAGAAACAAACTGAGGGTTCTAGAGGGGAGGGAGGTGGGGGGATGGGTTAGCCTGGTGATGGGTATTAAGGAGGACACGTACTGCATGGAGCACTGGGTGTTACAGGCAAACAATGAATCATGGAACACTACATCAAAAACTAATGATGTAATGTGTGGTGACTAACATAATAAAATTAAATTAAAAAAAAGAATGATGTCTGATTTCAGGATGAACATTGGCAAACAAGCACATGACATACTGAGGTGTCAAAACAAAGGTCACTGATCTTGGAACTCAGCAGTGTAAATTACTTAAATTTGACCTTTATCTTCTGTCTCTGGATATAATAGGAAGATCGGTCATTACGGGTGTGTGTGTGTGTGTGTGTGTGTGTGTGTGTGTGTGTGTGTGTGTGTGTGATGTGAGGGACAGAGAGAGACACAGATTGGGGGAGAAAGGGAGGCAGAGAATAAGTTGACTATAATTTAAAAAAAGTACCATTTCTGTACTTGAACTAGGAGAGGTCCCTGAGGGACCTCAGAAAATTTCTATCCCTGGAAATCTTTTCAAAGCAAGTCACACTTATTCAGTAATAAACTTCCTGCATGCAGGACGTCAAACCAGGTAACTTCTTGACCTCCTTTTCAGATATTTAATACTCATATTAAAACAAATTAAACACTCTTCTAAGTAAGAAAGCAATGTTTAAGGTCACAGAAATTACATAAGGGGCCACTCATCCCAGTCAACTCATAGATGAATATTTCAAAATAGGATAATTTAAAAACATTTACATTTGGTCTTTGAAAGCATAATAAAACTTGGGGGCTATATGATTTGCCATCTTATTTTGGCTTGCGACTGAAATTAAAACTTGAGTCCCACAGCACACGTAGGTGTGTGAAGGGGGAAGTAGGGAAGTATCAGGGAGTTTAGTTTAGTATTTTATTTTTATTTTTTTAAAAGATTATTTATTTGTTTATTTGACAGAGAGAGCGCACAAGCAGGCAGAGCAGCAGGCAGAGGGAAAGGGAGAAATAGGCTCCCTCCTGAGCAAGGAGCCCCATGTGGGGCTTGATCTCAGGACCCCAGGATCATGACCTGAGCTGAAGGCAGTTGCTTAACCAACTGAGCCACCCAGGCGCCCCTAGTTTAGGATTTTTTAAATTGGCCAGGGGTGCCTGGGTGGCTCAGTCGGTTAAGCATCTGCCTTTAGCTCAGGTCATGATCCCGGGGTCCTGGGATCAAGGCCTGTGTTGGGCTCCCTGCTCAGCGGAGAGCCTGCTTCTCCCTCTCCCTCTGCTGCTCCCGCCGCTTGTACTCTCTCTCTGTCAAATAAATAAAAATCTTAAAAAAAAAATTGTTTTTTAAATGGCCAGACAGAAAAAAAAGAAGAGGTGTGGGGCTCCTGGGTGGCTCAGTCAGTTAAGCGTCTGAGTTCGGCTCAGGTCATGATCTCAGGGTCCTGGGATCAAGCCCTGTGTCAGGCTCCTTGTTCAACAGGGAGTCTGCTTGTCCCTCTGCCCCCTGCCATTCATAGTTTCTCTCAAATAAATAGATAAAATCTTAAAAAAAAAGGCCAGACACAAGATGTAAAATGCTTATAATACACAGACGGTCACACACTCAGGTAATGAAGAGTCACCTCTAGTTCCCAGTCACTTGGTACTAAATAAACCACTTACTCTAAAGATGCCAATCCAATCCTTTCGGCGGGGAATGAAATGCTGGGTGAGTGTATAATAGCATGTGACATCCCCTCCAGGGACATAGAACTTCTCCACGCTGTTAAAGATGACCTGAGAGAAATGACAATGATCCAGCAAGACAGCTGATGTGGGGGGATCTTCTAGTGTCTCTTCCATGGTGGGCGTCCTGTTACGAGATATGGGATAGTTATTAAGGCTCAGAAAGGGCTGTTTGAAATGTTGGGAGATTTCTGGGCTCTCACCCAGGGAACATTCCATTCGAGGCAAGTCGGGAAAAGCAAAAGCCTGACAGGGATTGAGATCATACAACTTGCTTTCTGTTTCACTTTGAGCCATTTTGCATTCATAGCTTCCTGTGCTATAAGAACTTTCTAAGAATGTCTTTGATCTCCACCACAGGCACCACCACCCTCACATACCTTTATTCTCTGCTCATAGCTTGTTTGTTCCACTTCTTCTAAGTGCCTTAAATAAGTAAGGCAGCCTCGAGGAAAATAACCTGAGCTGGGAATGGTTAAGACCTAGAGTCTAGATTTTTCATCCCAACAAGTCCTGTGACTTCCCGAATATCAATTTCTCTAGATTTCAGCTTCTCGATTCATTCCATTTATCCTATAATTATCGAGTCTTTGCACTCTGCTAGGAGCTGGGCATGGGTGCAGGAAGAAAGGTGGGGTTGAGAGCAGATTATCTGACATGCGCGGGTGACAAGCATGGGTTCTGAAACCAGAATGGTGAAGTTCAAATTCCAGCCTCACTACCTATTAGATGCATGAGCTTGGGCAACTCACTTAATCAGCCGGGCTCTATGCCTGTTCCCTCACCTGTAAAATGGGGCTACTAAAACACCTACGTCATTTGGTTTTCCATGAACATTAACTGAAATAATGTAAAGTCTGCAGGCCTTAAATCACTACCTGCCATAGCATCACACAAAGTAGAAATATGTAGAATGACAGAATAAAGTATTAGCAGAGTCTGCAAGAAGAAAGGACTTGCCAGATGTTAGTGATTTTCTTAATATTGTGGGGTGTTTTGTTTTGTTTTCTGGCATAGGCTTTGCCCTCGAAAGGGTCCCAATGCAATATGGCAGTTAGATGAGAAAACAAGTGACCGACAGAAGGATGGAATCAGTGCAAAACGCTCTTGGGTTCAAAAGCGGGAGAGATGCAACTGGCTAGGAAAATGAAGAAGAGCTTTGACGGGTGAGTAGAGGCCTGGATAAGCCCTCAAGGAAGATGAGCCTTTGGGCTTGGGGGTGAGGAAATTCCAGGTGAATGAAATGGCATGCATAAAAGCAATGAGGAAAGAGAGAAATGCCGCCCATGTTTGGAGGATAGCAAGTTGGATCCCTATTTCTAACACTGGGGATATAACCTGTATTTCACCTTTGCAGGTCACGGTACAGATAAAATGTGATCAAGCATGGCAAACTATTTGGGAGGTAAAAACAATATAGAAAAGAATCAGAGTCTTTTGAATTGCTGAGATCTGACACTTACTGCCTCTCAAAAGTCACCTGCTCCATCTTCTAAATGCTCCCCGGGTCTAAGATTTAGTGAGCCCATGCTCCTCAACCCAGGGTTTCACTGGGAAATGGAAACAATATGGTGGCAGTATACAGCAGCTGAAGGAGAGCTGTATACAGGGGACTACTATATGATACCTTACAACTTCGGCTACTGGAACACGTTGGAAGAATGTATACAACTCAATTTTTTAAAAATAAGTACAATAACCAAAAAAACACAGCCCTTCTAGTCCTGCCTGACCCTACTTATTTCCTGGTTTTATTTTCAACGCTAAACCACCAGGTCTCTTCTTCCAACTCCTCCAGTAGTCAATTTTCTCACAGAGAAGGCAGGGGGACTTTGGTGGCACTGAACTGTCTATTCTTGGGATTAAGCTAAGGAACTAGGAAATGTATTAGCTTTCTGGTTTATGACACAGTTTTGCCACATCCTTAACCTCAAACCTCAGATCAGTTTTTCTGAGGAAGGGGGACGTCTCGTTCCAGTCTAGGTCAGAACTAGTTCCACATATACGCTGTTGCCTGTGTGATCTCTTGGATGCTATGGGTGGGTGGGCAGGGAAATATCTCAGCTTGCAGACCCCTTTCTTTTCCAGGGGTCTCAAGTCTTACTGAGGCCAGCATATCCCCTCTGTCCTCAGCCTGGAGCAGCATTTATCTGAGCTTGTAAAATGACTTAATCTGTTGTCTTTGGATCATAAAGAACACTCAGGTAAGAGTGGCTTCAGGGCCTATCTCTCAATTAACCTAAGTACCCAACTCCCTCTTCTTTTACTTCATAACACTATCACTCCTGTATACACGACATAAGGCCTAGCCTGTAGTAATTGCTGATTAACTATTCACTGAGTAAGTGAAATGCATGTGATTCATCAAAAAGTGAAAGGAAGGGGCTTCGTAGGTAAACAATGGTGTGAATGACCGTGCGGGGCTAATTCTTTTTTTTAAGCCCTGCTCTTAATTTGTTGGATACCCTTAGAGAAGCTGCTGTTTCTCAGCTTTCTCTTCTCTAAAATAGGGTGAAGAGATGATAATCTCCAAGTGCTATGTCAATTCTTGGTATGGCTGGTTCAACTGGCATAGCTGGTTCAAGTGGCATGGTGCCAAAAAAACAAAAGGCACAGATTTGATTTCCTTAAGGACCCATAAAATTCACACTCCATTACCCACCTTCTACACACTCAAACTCTCTGGCAAGCTGTTTTGCAAATGGATGTTACTCAGAAAGGCAAGACCAGCCAAGGGTATGAGGGCTTCGTACATCCTCTTTCCTGCTAGAAAAACAATCAATCTATAAGCTCATAAACAGAACACTGAAGAAAGGACATGTGCGCACGTGCACACGCACACACACACAAAGACACAAAAGAGCTCATGTTGAGGCTTGAGAGTAGGGACAGCCAGTGGAAACTAGCTCTTTTCATTCATCTGAACACCTGATCATCTATCTGGAAGTCAACAGTCTTGGTTCCTTGCTTATCAAATATGTAAGACTCCATGAAGTCTCCCATTTCAGAGATCTCATCACCTTTCCGGGATGACTCAGAGGGCACCTAGTGGCTCTCTAGGTATTTGGAATTCAGTTGTTCTTGAAATAGGAAACTCTGCTCTGCGGGAGACTGGGGAAGGGGTTGAGGAGGCAGGCAGAGTGGAGAACAGCCATGGCTTGCTTCTCTGCTTTTTACCAAAGCTGAGGACAGAAAAGGCCATGGGTGAAAGGCCATGAGTATAACCATGCTAATCTGAACTGGGTCAGCAAGGAGTTACCTCATTTAGCTCTTCCCGGAAGGAAGGTATCTACTACTATATTAATTTTTAAGGTCAGTGACCCTTAAAACCCTTTCCTCCCTCCCAGTGATTAGGTTCCTTGGGAGAAATGGGTTCTGACAATGGCTGGGGAAATCACCTTTCTGGCAAAGCGGTCCAGAAAGGACTGTTTGTGGAGGGGGCAGAGAGGATATGGAAGAAAAAGTAGAATGATTTAAGCATCAACTTCTCCGTCTTTAACAGCTCCTCCCACTATAGAATCTGCCCACCATCCACTTCTAATTCTGACAATATCCATGGAGGGAAGTGAGACGAGCTAGAAAAAGAGCAAAAGTTAGGGGCACCGGGGTGGCTCAGTTGTTGAGCATCTGCCTTCGGCTCAGGTCATGATCCCAGGGTCCTGGGATTGAGCCCCGCATCGGGCTCCCTGCTCCGCAGGAAGCCTGCTACTCCCTCTCCCACTCCCCCTGCTTGTGTCCCCTCTCGCTGTGTGTCTGTCAAATAAATAAATAAAATCTTAAAAAAAAAAAGAGCAAAAGTTAAATTTAGAAAACTGGAGAGCGACGGAGTCATGGAAAAGCAGTGGGATGAATTCGGCCCCCTAGAAATCATGGGATGGTATTCCACCTAATTCCCTCTTCCTACCCTCATGCCCAAGACTAGCCACACGAGGAGTGAGCAGGGAAAACAAATAGGGATGTCTAAAAGCAAACCACGGAGTAGGGGAATATAATGCAGAGATTCTACAAACTGTCAGAAGCACTTTACTTGGACTCTGATTTTTTTCAGCTCAGTTTCCAAAAGGATTAGGGTCCTCAGAGGATGTATGCAATAACAGGCATGTGTTTTAAAATGAGTCCCCTGAACTGGCTTCTGGCTTCTAAGAAAACCTGACACATTTTCATCTAATGAGCTTTTCAAGCCTAATATACTACTCCCAGGACTGTTCCATGAGGGCAGAGATTCTTTTACGTTCTCCTGAAGAAAAGGAACAGCTAATTCTACTTCTGCCCTGTGTGAATCTGTAAAGTACACAGATATGCTTTTTAGCAGAAAAATTTAAAAATATTATAAAGCTTCCTGGTTCAGATTCTAACAATGCAAATACTCAACCAAATCAATTCACCAACTTTCCTAAAGATTTTCCCCATGTGTGCTGAACCATGAAGAAGAAATAATCTTATTTAAAAATAACTGAAGTTCTACTGTAGAGTTATGCCCAACATTTTTACATTAGCCTTTCATACTGGTGGGCACATGTTTAGAGAAATGAAAGGCTATCAGTTTATCTGGATTAGTTCACAAAAGGAAAGCAAATGTTCCCACAGCTAAGAAAGAAATGCAAATCAATTCATTTGGGAACAGTAAAAACAAAAGATAAGCAAAAAACCCCCAAACTGCATTTCATCTAATTCCTTCATCCTGCTTATGTTAACTTTTTAAACTAGTAGCCATTAGCAAAATGTATGAACTGATTTGAATCCCACTCCTTCAGGCCCTGGAAGAGATGCTTGCTCGAAACTACCCTTAGAGAACCTGGACAGTGGCTACTATGGCCCTGAGCAAAAGCAAAGACACATAGTCACTGGCCTTCAAATTCTTGAGCTCCTTGTTCTAATCCAAAATTTCCAAGTTCATTCTAGTTCTTTACCTAAAATCTTTCAGAGTGCCTTAGAGAACTTGTATACCTCCAGGAGGCTTGTAATACTCCTCATTAACAACTGCTGGGATTGGCTGCCCCACTTGTTCGAAGCAGGCCCTCAGCCATATCCCACACCAGCAGCTCCAACAGTATGGGGCAAGGAAAGAAAAACAGTTGTGGGACATGAGATGCAGGCAACCAGAAGAAACTGTGTGAAAGCCTCAACTCCTAATCCTCTATTTAATTTAACTGAGATGGTACACTTTTCCTTGAAAGGGGTGACTGTGCTAACCCCTGAAGTGACATGAGTGGTGACAGGGTTTGAAGTGTAGTGGAAAGAGAACTAGGCTAGGAGCCAAGGGACCTGGGTTCCTGTCTTAGTTCTGCCACTGACTAGCTGTGGCATCTTGGCTAAGTCGCACTACCTCCTTTTAGGCCCCAGTATCCTCATCAGTAAAATGCATGGATCAGGCTAGAAAATCTCCAAGAAACCTTCCAGCTACAATGATGATCCCAAGTGAAAGAAAAAGAAAGTGAAAGAGGTCATATTAATGATCTTTCTTTTCATCTGAGGAAATAAAGAACCATGGTATTATATCAACAAGCACAAAGTGTTTAAAGAGCCCTAGATGTACTATCTGACTTGAAAGATAATACTTGTTAGTGCTGTGTAACTCTCACCACCTTTCTTGGGGTCCTTTCCACTCCACAGCTGTCATTATCTGCTAAAAGGTAGAGTTTCAGGTGGAGGCCCTTTGAAAATATCTGTGAAAGTGAGTCACCTGGATATTCCCTAATTATGTACTCTACATAATCTACAAAGACATTAAAAGTCCTCTGTTTTAGATGGTTTTTGCAACCGGGGAAGTAAGTTACAATAGATAGCATCTGTATTATTCTACTCAGCTCCAGCAATGGCCACTTGTTGGCTTGCATCGGGAGCAAAGAATCCAAGTGATAGAAAAAGGTTAACATGCCCGGGAGGGGTTGAAATCATAATGGGGGAACATTAGCCCTTAAATTAAATTGGGTTGATGGTAGCTGTGGGGAGGGGCTTCGGGAGATCAACGGTAAAGAAGCAGGTCGTTACGCTCTGGTTGCTTTCTTCTGCCTAGAGTATGTCCAATTACAGAAGGCTTTATCTGAAGGAAAGAGACTTTAGGGATCAGGCCTACTCATAAGACAGGGAAACTGAGGCCCAAAGAGAAAGTAACTTGCCTAGGGTGACGGGGCACAGTCCCACCTCGGCCTCGTAGCAAACAGCGATGCTGATGCGGTCAAGGGCAGGGATTAAGGAACTACCAAAGATCTCGGCCCGCGCGGGAGGCGGGGGAGGGGGGGGAAGAGGGAGGAGGAAAAGGGGGGGCGGGGGGTGGTTGACGCCGTGACGTCAAGACCCCGACTCCCGTCAGAGGGGTTCCTTCTGCTCAAGAAGCCTGCCACCCGGCCACAGGCACTGAAGCTCTGCCCTCCTGGGGAGAAAACTGCCCCTCAACCCTCCAAGGCCGCAGACGGGGCTCCAGGGGCTCCATGGCGCCACTCACACTTACTGTCACCCTGGAAAGATGGAAGGAAGTGAAAACCGAAACCAGCCGCACCTCTGCCTGCCCAAGGTCCTTTCTGAAGAGTGGAATCCTGAATTTGGGGAACCCGAAGGCCCAACTGCCCCTAATTGCCCTCCTTCAGTCCAGGGACTCACCAGGGGTAGCAGCCGGCGTCGGCGCAACAGCAACAGGGCAGGGACAGGGACAGGGGCGGGGCTAAAAACCCAGGGGAGAGCTGATCCCATCTGGTCCCGCCCATACGCCACAACGGCTACCAAGCCCCGCCCCCGCCGTGGTGCTTGCTGGGGTTTGTAGTGCTCAGGTGAATGGGCACCCGGGTGCTTAGCTGCACTATGGGGTTTTCGCCCATCCCGAACAGCTCCCCAAGGAGCCTATTTCTTCCCCTAGAATGAGCCGTTTACTTACCTTGAAAAAAAAAAACCCAGAACTTTATTTCTTTCAGTCCTGAACAAGAAAGGGCCATCGAGAGGTCATCTTCATTTTTCTCCTGCCTCTACATAGCACTTCACTAAGAGCCGTACAGATGAGACCCCCTTCGGCATTTAATCATCCTTCCGCCTGCCCCTAAAGGAGACCCAGCATTCTCCCTGGATTCCCCCATTTCTGTGTTTCAGCCTTCCTTTTCTATAAAATTATTTTTTAGCATTAGCTCTGTCAAGGTGGTGTTCGTCCTAATTGCAGTAAGAATAAACTCAGAATTCTGCTAAGTCAGTTTAGAGGGAATTCCTTACCCTTGAAAACTGATCAATCCCTGGCCTGTCTTCAGCAAGAATCCTGTGAAGTCGGTTCAGCAGTAATCTCCCCCGCCCCTACCCTCGATGTCTTCTCTTAGTAATTTTCCATCCACTTGTCCTTAATTGTATTTGTGGAGCTGAGCTCAATCTCTCTCCTCAATTGTAATGTCCCTATGGCAGTAATCCTGGATAAAGTCTCTCTTACTGGTTTAACAAGTGTCAGAATAATTATTTAACACTGCACATGCTATCTATGGATGGTTAAATTTAGAAGTGCCTCTTCTGCAAGGAGTAGCATCCTTCTAAATCTGGGAAGAAACTTTCTATGCAGTCTAACTGGGGAATTTATGCACCTGAAGACACTTTATGTTTCAGGCAGGAGAATGAGCATTCCTTTTACTGCCTTATCACAAAATTGGTGGCATTCAACTGAGAAGAATGGATGGCGAGAAATAAGTAAACCAGTAAACTTTTACCGGGGGTTCTGTTGAAAGTTTAAATCACCTTCTGCGTTACCAAAATTATGCTCTTCCATTTTAAACTCTGTCTACAGGGATAAGTGTCCTCAGTATCCTGGATACATCTCCTTTAATTTTACTTAGTAGCTTTTTAAAAAGCCCTTAGAATTGACACCTCCTACACCCACACACCTTACTGTCCATATTAACACAACTATTTCATGAAACTATTGCCTGGATGTTAAAAATGCAAATGAATCCATTGTGCATTTTAGGAGTCGCCTAGAAGAACCACCAATTTTTTTTTTAAAGATTTTATTTATTTATTCGACAGAGAGAGCTAGCGAGAGAGGGAACATGGGGGAGCTGGAGCGGGAGAAGCAGGCTCCCCGCAGAGCAGGGAGCCCGATGTGGGGCTCAATCCCAGGACGCCGGGATCATGACCTGAGCCAAAGGCAGACACTTAACTGAGCCACCCAAGCATCCCTGAACCACCAATTCTTCAATAGAAAGCATCACATGATGATAGTTCTATACTTTTCAAGACTCTTAGAACCCCTGGCCTCAAAATCCTTGTGTCCACCAATCCTAAGCTGTTATATCATGACTCTTACCCTATCCTAATCAACTTTTGCCTTTACCCTCACATTGAAAGATCCACCCCTTTCCCCAAACTAAACTTCAAAGTCTCAATAAATACCACTATTTTGTCCTTCTGCCTCTGAGCTGCTGTTACAACTTTGCCAAGACAGTGTTCTTCCTCACTAAGGTAAGAATAATCCCAGTTTTTTTTGAGGGGGGAGGGGCAGAGGGAGAGAGAATCCTGAAGCGGACTCCCCGCTGAGCGTGGAGCCGAACACGGGGCTGGATCCCAAGACTCCCAGATCATGACCTGAGCCGAAATCAAGAGGCAGCTGCTCAACCAACTGAGCCACCCCGGCATCCCTCAGTTTTGTCTTATCAGCAGGTTGTTTTGTTGATATTTTGGGAAGCTAAATTTGACAGCATAGAATAAAAAAATTAATTAGTCTGATTTATTTCCAATAGGAGTGTCAAGGGAAGGCTACAGGGACAACCGTTTATAACTGGATATTGAAGGAATGCGAATTGATATTCAGACCTATAGAGAAAATCCTCCAATTTATCTTCAAGTGTTGGGAACTGTGAAAAAGACTGGGGCTGGGAGTAGTTATGCTGTGCCTGACACAGTAGGTTTTCTCATTGACTCCTTACAAGGGAAGCACTTTTATTATCCCCATTTCACAGATGGGGATTGAGGCTTAGAAATACAAAGTTACTTGTGAAAGCTCACCCGGCTAGTGTCATCAGAAGGCTTTGAACCAAGCATTCTGACTCAAGCAACTATGCTCTTAATCATGACACTCACTCGACTCTTTACGAGAGTCCAGTAATCCATAAGGGAAGACCAGTGCATAAATGAATATGGTACCACATGATAGTGGCTTTATAAGAGGAATTTACACAGTGATAAGGTAGCATGGAATTAATTTTTAGGTTTCAAAAAAAGGCAATAGAGAAAAAAATTATTCTGAAGCCTATTAAAACAGTAAGGAAAACTTTATTTGGGCCTATTGCAATAGGAATATTACAAAAGGGAAGAGAGATTGTGTTCAGTTCCAGAAACAATGGGAACAAGTGGGGATTTATAGCCGTCAAGGAGGATGAGGGAGTCAGTGGGTGGAAAATTACTAAGAGGAGACGTCAAGAATGGGGGATTCTTGCTAAGCTGATTTAATAGGATTCTTCCTGAGGCAGACTAGGGATTGATCAGATATCAAGAATAAGGATTCTCTCTAAGCTGATTTAGGATTTTTGCTGAAATTGGACTTAAAAGAGGACTTCAACTACCTCCATTTTGACCTCAGTCTGTCCTTTCTAATTAAGTTCTTTCCCGCCTATCTCTTAACTCAAGGCAAAAGACCCTGCAGGTAAAGCATCCTGTGATGGGAACAGAAACTACCCCCCTCCCTAAGCAACAAGGACTGCCCGGAGCCAGCAGGACTCTGCATGACTAACCCCAAGACAATGATCAACCTGACCTTTACTGCCCACCTGTTTGTATCCACCACCCTTTGTCTCACATTTTCCCTATATAAGCCTGCACGTATTTTCAGGACCTTGGAGACGTGCTTTGAAACTGTCCACTGTCTTCCTCGTGTTGGCCTCCCCGAAATAAATTCCTTTCTTGTTTCTCTGTGACTCGTGTCTCTGCCTTTGGATTTTGTCAGTGGTGAGTGGCAGAACCTGGTCTGTTTGGGGGCCCCAGAACCAAGTGCCTTTGCACCCGTGAGCCCCAGCTACAGATTTGGCAAGGACATAGAAGCCCAAGGTTGAAGCCTAGTCAAGAAAAGGGCTCAGAGGAACCTAGCTGACTAAAGTTGGTCAAAGAGAGAGTCTTTGTCAAAGGAGACATTTGGTTTATTTGAATACCAAGCTTGGCCTGCAGAAAAAGGGATGGGAGAGAAATTTGACGTGGAGGGAGGGGGTAGTCATCTACAGTTGTGCTGTCCAGGAGAATTCTCTGTGGCGATGGAAAGGCTCAGTATCTGCACTGTCTGATCTGGTAACCACTAACCACATATGACTACAGAGCGCTTGCACTGTGGCTATTGCAACTGGGAACTGGGTTTTTAATGGAGTTTAAGTTTATTTTATGGGAGAAAATCAGATTTAATAGCATATGTATGTATGTATGGGGAACCCACACAGACATGAAACTCCCTATCGAACTGAAATTTATTTATTTATTTATTTATTTTTATTTTATTTTATTTTTTAAAAAGATTTTATTTGTCAGAGAGAGAGCGAGCGAGCACAAGCAGTGGGAGAGGCAGGCAGAGCAGGCAGAGGGAGAAGCAGGCTCCCTGCTGAGCAAGGAGCCCGACTGGGGACTCGATTCCAGGACCCTGGGATCATGACCTGAGCGGAAGGCAGCCGCTTAACTGACTGAGCCACCCAGGTGCCCCTATTTTTTTAAAAAAGATTTTTATTTATTTCTTTATTTGAGAGAGAGAGTGCATGAGCAGGGGGAGGGACAGAAGAAGAGGGAGGGAGGGAATCCCAAGCAGACTCCTCCCTGAGCATGAGCCCCACTCGGAGCTCCATCTCACAACACTGAGATCATGAACTGAGCCGAAATCAAGAGTTGGACACTTAACCGCTTAACCAACTGAGCCACCCAGGAACTCCTCAGACTGCAATTTAAATAGACATATGTGATCACTGTCCTCGCTGGTGCATATCTACAACATCTGGGTGACAGGGGTGTGGACTATGGGAAGGAGAAGAGGGAGGTGGCCTACAAGGTGTCCAAGCAGCTCTGCTGCTTAGTTTCACCTCTGCTGTCAGCTCCAGCCCTGCCCAGCTCTACCCAGTGGCAATGACTCTGGCCTTTGGACTCTCAAGTCCATGCAAAAAAGAGGGTGGAAGGAAAGTTATCCTTGAAGTTTGCTGTCTCTGTAACCACCTAGAACTCTGCAACTGGATGCCTTACAAAGTAGAGAGAGTTTCTATGCCCAGGTTTGAGAAGGAGGATTGAATAATCATTGGCAAGAAGGAGCCTACTAACTAAGTTGGGATGCTGTTAGGCTTTCACCATATGCAGGTCAAGTATGGTGTTTTATAAACTTGTGGAGAAATAGGAGCTAGGTATGCCTCACATTAACCCCATGTTTCTAGAATGTGTGGGCAAACCAAGTCACCTGTTAAACACTTTTAATATTTAAAAGTGGTCCCTGTAAGAATTTGGGAGGGCTATCTTTGTTTTAAAAAATTGCATTAAGTAGGGGGCACCTGGGTGGCTCAGTTGGTTAAGCGACTGCCTTTGGCTCAGGTCATGATCCTGGAGTCCCGGGATCGAGTCCCACATCGGGCTCCCTGCTCAGGGGGGAGTCTGCTTCTCCCTCTGACCCTCTTCCCTCTCATGCTCTCTGTCTCTCATTCTCTCTCTCAAATAAATAAATAAAATCTTTTTAAAAAATTGCATTAAGTAAAACAAAAAGAGAGAGACATTTCATAATCCCACCCATATTTTCAAAACTGTTGTCTGTAGAGAAAGATCTCTCTGTTGGACACCCTTCCTTGATTAGCTGATATGAATTGATTCTATGAGAATTATTTTACAACTCCGTAAATTGTAGGTAACTGATAGGCAAGGAATTCCTGTCTGGTCTGATAGAGGTTTGACTATTTTCCCTCCTTTCCTTGTGGAAAAAAAAAAAAAAAAGCAGTTTTGCATCCATTTACAATTTCTTTCAGCTTTCCTTTCGTCAAATTGTGCTGCTTTTTTTGAACCAGCGGAACCATCTGACTATCTGACTGGTTCCTTCACTGAGTTACATAAAATCTTTAACATGTGTACATTTTTTTAAATTAAAGATTTTATTTATTTGAGAAAGAGAGAGAAAGAGAAAGAGAGACAAGATAAAGTCAGAAGCCTGGGAGCTCCATTGCTCATGGGCAAGCAGCCCATTCCCAGGGGCTCTGTTGGCCCCGTCAGCTATATGTCAAAACGGGAGTGCTGGGCAGCAGTTTCTGTTTCTATTTCACCAGTTAACAGAAATAAGCGTGTGTGAAGGAGGGAGCAGTGGGCTCTATGAGCCCGCTGCAAGGCCTTGGTCAAGCCACTACATTTTTCTGAGCCTTGATTTCCTCTTCTAAATGCAAGGGAAATACTCGGTTATAAGAGCTTTTCTGATTTAACAGGAACTCTGATTCTGTGATTGTATACAAACACTTCCACAACATTCCCTCATACCTTGTAGACTTAAACAAAAAAATAAAAATAAAATAAAATCTGGGGGTATGGGAAAAAAAATCTTCTAAGAATCTTTGTCTCATTTCCACTCCCTATCCCGTCATCAGTACGTATACCAAGACTTTCTTTGGCACAGACAAAAGTGAGACTCTTTTTCCCCCCCCATTAACGACTTAGAGGAAGGGTCCCAAACTGAGAAAAAGAGTCTTGTGTGTCAACTGTAGAGCAAACAACATTCTGAGAATGTTGTTATTGTCTTATTATTCAGTCAGGTAAGTGCTTTAGGAACAAAAAGACAGTGAAAACAAGTTTCATACCTACGTCCTGCAGTCCCGCTTGCACACTCTTGCCTCTTGAGCTCGGGGGAGGGGACACAGTCCCAATTTTCTGACCACTGGAAGGGAGACTCTAACACACTCCTTCAAACTTTCACACCCAGGCCCAGAAAAACCCTTGGTGTTTGCCTTGGGGATTTGTCTTCTTTTCCCTTTTTAAGATTTATTTATTTATTTATTTATGGGGGTGGGGGTGGGGATGGGGAGAGGCAGAGGGAGAGGGAGAGGGAGAGAGAATCTCAGGCAGACTCCCTGCTGAGCACTGAGCCCCACGCTGGGCTCAATCTCAGGACCCTGAGATCATGACCTGAGCTGAAATCAAGAGTCGGACGCTTAACCGACTGAGCCCCCCAGGTGCCCCTGGCCTCAGGGATTTTTCTGTTTCGGGTTTGCCTGGCACAAATCACTGATGCTTTCTCATTTCCTGGCTGTCGCTCTGGCCCTGGAGGGGACGCCTGATAGGGTTGGAGCCTGCTTTGCTCTCCAGTGGGGGCAGCTCTATGGTTCACCCCGGGTTTGTTCTTGTCATCACCCCTGAAAGGACAGGGGTGCCCGCCTCTGGCCTATTAACTCCCGCTGCAGCCAACCCTCTCATAAATAACCAGTTGTCAGGGATTTTAATGGAAATCCTCTGGAAGCTGTAAATCTTTGCTGCTCCCTCCCGCATCCTTTCCCTCATTTCCATCACAATATCACTCCAGAGGGACCCGAGACCAGAGCAGGAGCTTGGCAGAGCAGATTGGTAGGACACTGGGGAAAGAAAGAGGCGGAGGAGGGGGAGGGGAAGAGGGCTGGGACAGTTGGTCCTAGGGAAGCATCTGCCGTGGCCAGTTGATGATGGTCACCTGGGCCTCCTGGGCCCTGGAGAGGGGGCGGGGCAAGATAGCCCAGGGCCACGTGTTGGGAAGGGGGAAGAGGGAAGAGGAAGAGGCTAGGATGGCAGAGAGGTTTCTGGAAGAACAGCAGACGGACCGCTGGTTCTACCTCAGGCCCTGCAGGGGGTATTTAAGCATCTTGAACTAGACTTTCATTGTCCGCTTGGGGCTAAGCCATGCCTTTGCCTCTAGGCTCCTGCCTGGGCGATCAGCAGGTTAAAAGGGCAGCGTCCTGTGCTGGCAGGAAAACTTCCTCCAACTTGGGTCCAAAAGGTAATAGTTTATTTCTATGCATATGAGAGCACTCAGTAGTGAGTAACTGTCCAAATAGCTAGGCATAAAGGTTTATTATATATCAGTTTTATAAAGGGTGGGAGTTAGGGCTTCAAAACGGGCCTCTGATGAGACTTGTTTACACAATTTTTGGAGTGTCCATGTGTCCAAGGACAGAGCCTGCCTGACTGGAGATCTCCACCGTCCCCCCCCCCCCGAGTTTGGGGGGGCGGGCATAAGGGAGAGGGCCAGCTAACTGTTTTAATTGTACATTACAGTAGCATCAATTCAAGCGTCTGGAAATCTCCAGAAGGAGAGGAATGGATATGGGCAACAAGTATCTTTGACTCAATCCGTTTCCTAAAAACACTGTGGTTCAGAAATTTTAAATCGATCCTTCGTGTTTTCACCAATCCCGAACTAATCCAGGCAGAAACAGCTCTACCGGCTGCCAATCCTTTGCAGGCAGTCTGGCACGCATTAGTCTGGGCTTAGACAGGTGGAAACGGAAGGAAACCACAATTATCTGAATCCAGTCACTATTCTGATTCCCTACCTGCCGACGACAGTCAAAATGTCGCTGTGAGAAGCCAAGACCCCAGAGCCCTGGGCGGCCCTCTCTCTCGGCCAGATCCCCCACTCTGAGATATCATGGTTTAAGAAGCCAGAGCGATTCATTGTAGGTTTTCGATTAGCTACTTTACTGTTAGAGAAGCTAAGCCCGGAGAGGTGATATCAACTGCCCACGATGACACGTGCCTGAGGTCTTGACTGGGGTCTCAATCCGGTGCTCTCTGCAGGGCTCCCCCGGTCCTGGTTTCAGCCCCTGGTCCCTGTTTCGGCTATTCCCCCCTCCCACCGCGCGCCCCGGCCCTGAGTACAGGGCGGCCCGGCTCAGCGCTACCCACCCGCCTTCCCCTCCCGAGCAGCCGCAGCTCACGAGGCCGACGGTTCGAGTCCGCTCGGCCCCGAGGCTCCGGCTGCGCCTGCGCCTGCGCACGCCGCCCCGACGCCCACACGGCTTGGGCCGGGGAGGGCGGGGACCCGCGCTGGGCTAGCGGTAGTGGGGCCTCCGAGCGCCGGGAGCGCGGCCCAAGCGTCCTCCGCGTCTCCCGGGACAACCTCGGGCGCTGCCCTCTCAGAGAGCAGGGGCGGTTAATTGGATTCGGGAGGGAGGGAGGGGAGGGGGCACGGCAGCCTACCGCTGGGGCCAATCGAAGACCTAGAAAGCCCTATATGCAAATATATGAGGGCTGGGCGTACCCCAAGTTAGGAGGGGCGAGGGTTGGGCTTGCGGGTTGTCGGGCAGCCAGTGGGAGCGTGTCTCCTTAATCTTTTTGAGGAGGGGGCCCGCAGGTGTGGTTGCGAGCGGTACCGGCAGCAGAGCAGGGGCAAGACGGGGGAGTAGGAATCGCGGGTAAGAGCCCCCCAAACCCGGTGCTGGCCTTAGATCGTGGCCACCTAGTGTCTCCCCGCTGGAAACCCGGTCCGTCATACCCCCAAAGTCCCCCTCGATGCCCAGTTCCCCAGGGCTACCCCCTCCGCCCTCCCCAATGGCGCTCTACCGCCAAAGCCACTCCCCTCCCGGTCCCTGCTCTTCCTTGGCGCAGTAGCTCGTCTCTTCCCAGTCCCGTACTCGCGTTCAGCTCTCCAATACCCTCGCTCCCTTTCTCGTCCTCAAAACTCCGATGCCAAGACCTTGCCCACACGCCAACTCTTCTTTTCCTAGCTCCATTTCCCCTCCTGTCCCCACTTTCGTTCACTTCCTGCCCTCCCTCGATTTTCCGAACCCGGTGCGCCCAGGGAGCTGTTCCTTAGATACCAGAGACCCCTGGGAATCGCAAAACTCTCGCTGCCTCCTTCCCCATCACTGGGTCCTTCTCCTGATCACCTTTCTTCCTTTGTCTGGAGAAATCTTCCAGAGAGACACTTCTGTTTTGGATAGCCAGCACAGCCCTCTGCAAATAGCCCTACCCCTCCTCTCCAGCCCTCCTCCCCCTTCCAGTTATTATTTCTCACCTCCTGAAGGAGAATTCTTCTAGGCTTGAGGAATGTTCTCCTTTGGGATTTGAATGCTAGGAAAAATTAACTTACATTTGGGGATGAGGTGGGAAGGGAGCTAGCCTTTATTAAGCACCAGCGTGTGCCAGGCACTTCAAAAAGTTCTTTAATAGGTACACGAACCCTACTGTCATATTTTCATTTTACAATAGAGCTTTTATTTTGAACCAAGCACTGCTTTAAGAGCATTATAAATATGAACTCATTTAATCTTTAAAATAACCCCACAAGATAGATATTATTATCCTCATTTTAGTTATGAGAAGACTGAGGTACAGAGAGGCTCAGTTTCTCACCCACAGTCACCTGCTAGTAAGTAGAGCTGGGATTTGGATCCAGATCCATCAGTCTTTGCTGGTGATACACTGAGTATTGTGCGGAAAATGGCTGGACATGAGTCTGCCCCGTAAATTGCACCTTCCTCTCAGCTTTTAGCAGAATAAAAAATGTCATCGGAGTCAGCAAGATTCTTAGTGTTTCCAGAGAATGGGGCCAGTCATTCTCAGCACTTTTTACTGGCACAGCCCTTGAGCAATTGAGCGCCCACATCCCTCCCTTGTTAGCCCATGTCTTGCTAAGAACCCATTCAGTCCCTGTACTGAAATTTCCAGGGTGGCTAGAATTGAAAGCCAAAAGGCCATAAAAAGCATCTTAATTTATCCTGCCTGCATCAAAGCTCAAAGCACTTTTCTAGATGTGAAGTTTTTCTCTTCCTAGTGGTCTTTTAATCACAGAAAAGACAGGGAATGAGGGCACACCTGAAACTAATGTAACGTTGTGCATCAACTATACTAAAAAAAAAAAAGACAGGAAATAAGGGAGGAGATATTACTTGGCTTCTCATGACATACAAAGTCAAAGAAGCAAAGGTGGAAGCAAGATCCAGAGGTCTTAACCTCCACATCTTCTCCCCCCATCTACTTTGACCTTTTCCAAGAGCTGGATCCTGGAAGCCTTCAGAGAGATTCTTCTGGTAGGGGAATGAGGACCAAAAGATGAAAAGGCGAGGAGATGCAGGAAAACCTATTATTTGGGAGAGGAGAAGGAAGTCCACAGCAGACACAATAGGATAGCTCTTCAGTGCCATATATAGTACTACAGACTGAAAGAAAAGTCCAGGCTCTGAAGGTCAGGATGAAAAAAACTCGGTTAAAACTTTAGACATGTTCCACTTCGGTTAAAACTTTAAACATGTTCCACTCTCTGTTCTTAATCAATCACCAAATGATTCTTTCCTCCAGTTTCTTGACACCTGTATTTGAATTCAGCTTTGCAAAAGAAAGCCCTAAATATTTTCCATGCTCTGCAGCACCTCCAGGGGTAAGAAGAGTAGTTTACCTGTAGAGCCCTTCAGAAGTGGAAATGAAATATGGTCCCTTCTTTGAGATTTTCCAAATAACCTGCAATGTGTTTGCACAAAGCCATCCCAGGGCTCATTCCCTCCCCCTGGTGGCCAATGAAGTGCATTTTCATGCTGTCTAACCAGGGTTTGGTTGGCTTTGTCTGGCTGGGAAGATCGAAGATCAAACCCCACACTAAAATGACAGGAAACTTCAGCTGCCTCTTAGCAAGTGATTTCTTAGCAAGTCACATCTCTGGGGGTGCCTGGGTGGCCCATCCGGTTAAGCATCCGATTCTCTCTCTCTCTCTCTTTTTTTTTAAGTAGGCTCTACGCCCAGTGTGGGGCCCAATGCAGAGCTTTAACTCATGACCCTGATGTCAAGACCTGAGCTGAGATCAAAGAATCAGATGCTTCGCCTGGGTGGCTCAGTCAGTTGGGCATCCGACTCTTGATCTCAGCTCAGGTCTTGATTGCAGGGCCGTGAGTTCAGGCCATACGCTGGGCTCCACACTGGGCATGGAACCTACTTAAAAAATAAATAAACAAACAAACAAACAAATAAATAAATAAAAGTCATTTCTCTGACTGCAGAGGCCCTTACACCAGGGTGTATGTATGGCTCAGGATGCTGGCAGCACCCTTCACTCTTCTGTATTCTCCTTAGGCTTTGTCCTTAGAATTTAATGCCTCTCCTCCTTTGATTCCTCAAGGCTGCAAGATTACTTTTGACAATGAAATTGTTGGGCAGGAGAGTAGGTGGGGACCCCCAGGTTAGCAGGGAGTGGCTGCTGAGACTCGTAAAGAGAAGGCTGATAGAGTTTAGTAAGACTTGAGAGGTCCTGGGGGGAAGCAGCTTTTTTTTTTTTTTTAAGATTTTATTTATATATTCATGGGAGAAAGAGAGAGAGAGAGAGAAGCAGAGGGAGGAGCAGGCTCCCAAGGAGCAGGGAGCCTGATGCGGGACTTGATCCCAGGACCCTGGGATCATGACCTGAGCCGAAGGCAGACGCTTAAACATCTGAGCCACCCAGGCGCCCCAGGAAGCAGCTTTTGTTCTAACTCATTGCTGCTTGGGGGCCAGGGATGTGCTAAAGGAGGATGGCTCAATCCAGACGTCCATGAGGCTGGGCCTCTGGCCTGAAGGAGACAAATGACCTGGTCATACAAAAATGTTCCCTCTCTCTTAATGCTACTGTAAGGAAAATAATAGCACCAGGGCACCTGTTGCTTGGCTCCTGTATCAGGGACACTGTGAGGACGGGACTGGGGCCAACTGAAAAATACTTAAGAGGGAGCCACGGCTTGGCTCTATTGGATAGCTGGCGTGAAGTAATGGGGCCCGACTTTCCCAAAAGAAATGGAAATTCTGGATTTTTATGAGAAATCTACATTGTCTGGTTATTGGCAACTACTTCTATTTAAAACTATCCCAAGGACACACGGTGGTGGGCCAGGTGAGCATGTCAGCGGGCTAGGTTCGGCATGCAACACATGCACTCCCCACCCCAGCAAACTCGGAGCAAGATACTCTCTGTCAGGAGCCTTTGAGGGAATTCAGCAGGGATTTAGTGTTGAGGATGAAACAGGAAGGAGAGGACTGGGGGAAGAGAAAGCTGGGGGGGCCAAAGGCAAAGCCAAAGTAGACGCCATGTGGCATTGACTGCTCTCCACCATCTTGCCCCTGACTCGGGTACCATTCAAGTGGCTCTCACGTCATAGGTAGCCTAGAATCCAGGGGAAGGCAGCTAAGTACGCTATGGGGACCAGTTCCTTTAGAAGTACGTGGGCTCAGCTCCTTGGTCTATGTGCCTGGGGCCCTCTCGTAGTGCAAGAGTCCACAGCATTTGATCTTTTTGCCGTTTTTGTTGTTTTTCTCTTTGACGCAGACAAGTAGCAACAGCCATGACTCGTTCTTACCACTTGGGCAAAGACTCAAAAAAGAGCAAAGACAACTCGCAACTCCAGAGGCCAAATTCAGGGTCAGTTTTCTCTCCTCAAGTTAACATTAACCTTTAGGTAAACGGAGGCTACTCCTCCAGGGCCTGGTAAACAGAAGCTGGTTGTGGAGGGCTAGGCGAGTGGAAGTGGCTGTTTACCTGGAACCAAGGGAGCAACTCAAGGTCAAGAGTTCATGCACCTTAGTCCTTTTGAACAAGAATGTGCCTGTTCACTGGGAAAAGGGACTCACAAGGCCCAGGTGTCATTGGTTCGTTGTGCCATGTACAACGCTTTCTCCCCCTGCTCAGGTGTCGCCATAAAGGGGCTTGGCTATAAGTGGCAGTGCTCTTGAGCAAGAGAGAAACCCAAGGCGATCCCTGGCTGACTTAATACTGCTGCCCTTCCTCTTGGCGATGGTTGTGAGCATTCAGTGCGATGGTGTATGGGATAACTCTTTGAAAAACATAAAGAAGTACATTCATATAAGGGCTTATTATTAAGTTATTCCTAGGTAGCCTCCAAGTTAGAGCCCTCCACTCCGCAATTTTGGTTTGGGAAAGGGGCAGAGAGACATGGAAGGGTGCGGTTATGGTAAAAACATGGCCCATAAGGTACAAAACATTGTTGAGAATTAGCCAGTGTGGGTACGAAGGAAATGTGATTCCCATGAGATTGTGTGAGTCTCTTGGGCCTGCTGTTAACCATGTATTGCTGGTGGTAATCCAAATCGTTGGAGTGCCTCTGGAAAACAACATGGTGATATAAATAGATAGATAGATAGATAGATAGATAGATAGATAAAATAAAACCAGAAGCTATATAATTTTTATGTTAACCTAGTAATCCTGGTTCTGGATATATATCTTAAGAAAAATAATCCTCAAGAAGTAAAAGGCCTTCTATACACAAAAGAGCACATTTCAGAGCCATTAATATAACAGCAAAATTGGAAGCATCTTACATAGCCAGCGATAGGGTAATGGTCAGTTAAATTCAGGCACATTCCTTCAGTGGGGTTTTATTACACAGCCATTAAACACTGGAAACAAGTAAACTTTGTCACCACCAAAAGGAAGTTTCTGATATGATATTAAGTGTGTGTGGGAGGGGGAAGCAGATAGAAAATGGTTTCTATAGTATGGTTACAATTATAGAAGAATAATTGTGCTTAGAAATTAAGAATCAAAGAGAATATACAAAGGGGGCAAAGTTGCTCTTCCAGGGTAGGAAAGCCACATGTGATTTCTCACCCTATCCTTGTCTAAACTCCCTTTAATGTTTTATTATTTCATTGTAATAAATTATCATAAAGATATTACTATCTTTTTTTTAAAAGCCAAAGAGTTGATGAGGGAAGAACAGGTAGTAAGTAGCAAAGGCATCAAAGGACAGGGGTTGCCGTGGTGAGGAGGTCGGCAGGATTTGGGCGGTAAAGAGGAGGAGGAGCCCCAGAAAGTTGGCTTTATGGTCATAGAAGCCTTGGATGTGAAGGAGATGGATCCGTTGATTGGATCTGGGCTTTTCTGGGTTACCCAAAGGCACATTCCTAAGGATTACTGAAACAGGGGCATTAAAAACCATTACAGATTTTGATATTTGAAATTTCAAGCAAACAACAAAGAAGTCATCATGGGAATGGTTGGGAGGGGGGGACAAGAACTTTGCTAGACTTCCCTATTGGTATTTTTACCATTTGGTCTTGTTTTTGCGTTGAATTGAATCAGGGAGATGCTGTACCTTTTCTGTGGGTGGGGTCTCTGAAGGTCTCCGTCTGGCCCTGGGCTTGAATTGTGTTCAGTCAGCTACGTATTGACCCTGTACTCCAAAGCTACCTTTGCATTCAGCATCAGCGGCAGGTTGGGCGTGGGGGGTTCCTTGTAGTGTCGAAACAGTTAACAGACCTCCTCAGAGCACCTCGTCTGCACCCACTGGGACTAACTCCCTCAGTTGGGAAGGCTTAGGGCTTGGTTCTTGAGGGCGTCTCCAGACACTCACTCACTTTAATAAGATTGTTTACCAGGTGGTGCCATGCATAGCCTCTCAGCCTGCTCCTGAAAATCCCAGGAGGGCAAAAACCAAAGCCAGGGTTGGCTGAGTGAGTCCCCAAGGTCAGAGTCCCTGAGGGCAAAAGGTGGAATCAGCTCTCTCCCCGAGCTTGTACCAACCGTGGAGGTGGGGTGGCATTTTCTAAGCGGCAATCAGCGCCTGGTCTCAGAGTGGGCCTACCACCCACATGAGCAAGGGAGGGGGTCCCCCTGCAGGCAGATCCAAGTAACTGCTGCTCCCTCTGCTCTCTCCCCAGGGTGCGCAGGGATTTCCCCAGAGCCTCCTCCCCGGCTGGGGAGATGCTCCAGTGCCTGCCTTTGGACGGCGAGGAAGGGGCAGACTTGGAAGAGCGGGAGGACAGTTCCCAAGAAGATCCGAAAGAAATCATCACCCTGGCTTTCGTGAGCGAGAACACTGGGGTGCAAGAGGGGCTTCAGAATGCCCAGCAGCAAGGCAAGAAGAAGAGGAAGAAAAAGAGGTTAGGACTGAAAGACGGGGAACGGGGATCCATGTTGTTGGGAGCAGAAGGGACCTGGAGGGGAGGGGGCCTTGGCCACTAACGAGAGGTTAAAGAGATGTTGTGTGCTGGGACCTTCAAAATCACACCTCCTTCAGTTCATTATGAGAAGAATCCACCTGATGATCTGTTTGATTGATTGATTGAAGATTTTATTTATTTATTTGACAGAGAGAGAGAGCACAAGCAGGGGGAGTGGCAGGCAGAGGGAGAGGGAGAAGCAGGCTCCCCGCTGAGCAGGGAGCCCGATGCGGGACTCGATCCTGGGACCCTGGGATCATGACCTGAGCCGAAGGCAGATGCTTAACTGACTGAGCCACCCAGGTGTCCCTGATGATCAGTTTTATAGAATCAAATAATGGTGTGTGTAATCGCAAACCACACCTTGTCCTAATCTTCATTCTATTTGTGTTTAGAATGCTTTTTTTTTTTTAATTGTGTGGGAAAAGACAATTTCCTCATTTTAAGGAAGTGCTTATTGTCCTGGGAACTTAGTACATTTTAAAAATAATGAAACTGACGCTGACTTCTTAGGATCTGCCTGTGGCTTCTGCGTTCTGGTTTCTACTTACTATTCCGTCACACCTTGCTCCTTTCAGGGACAACGAATCACTCCTCAGACTCACTGATGCTGGAAAGCTTGTCCACTTTCTAACTCACCCCTTCCCTTAGTGGGGGGGCAAGAGGAGGGAGACCATGAAGTAACTTGGCCCAAACATTTTTCACTTTCCTTTCCTGATGGGCCACTGGAGTAAAAGGATTGAGGAGGTGATGATGTTCATATGAAGCTGAAGCAGAAGTAGTTATAACCGCAGTACAGAATTTCTGCCTCCGTGTGGGGCATTGGTAGAGTCCGTGTCTTCCGCCACTCTGTGACCCTTGGGATCCTTGTCTTTAGTCATGGGGGGTAGTCAGACCAGGCTTAGTGTGGCAGGATGGGTTTCATGCAGCCCCGCCTGGGACCGATGCTTCTGGGTGTGGTCACCTATTCTGGCAAGTGTGTCTGTCTCTGTCTTGCTTTCCTTTTTCTCTTTCCAGATGATTGGTGATCAATCTCTCCACCTGCCGATATGAGAGCGGTGAGCACCTGCCTTCAAGGGATCCACGACGGGGACCCAGTGGATTACCCCAAAGGGTTGGGAAGGGTCATCTTGTATATTCTTGAGGATGAAAAGTGGATGTCTCCACATTCTGTTGTTTCCTTTCTCAATGAACTATTTGAGGAAGTTGGGAATCTCATTCCAAGGAAATATGGGTTTTGACCACAGTGGTGTATATTTTAGCTCTCTATAGTTCCTCTATAGGGTTATTTGGGAATCTGATTGTAGAGAAGGCAGCTGTTTCTGCTTGTTAGAGCACGAGTTAGAGACTGGCAGTCCACGGGCTGAAGATGACCTACAGAACTATATCAAACTATAGAGCAGCATTGTCATTATATGGATTTCAAATTTGAATGTTTTACACTGGTCCTGACTCCCCTGGGTCACTATAGGTACTTCTTCCTTTCCAGGCCCTTGAAAGCGTTTGAGTTTGTGTTGGAGTTATCTCCCAGTTACTAATGCTAACAGGGACAGGGAAAGAAGGATGTGATAGCATATATGTGGTTTTGAAATGCATTGTATACTTTTTTTTCTGTCAATTTACCTTCCTAATTAGGCTTGGCTCTGGCTGATGTTAAGGATTAGTTTATATTCCCCGAACATTCTGTGCTTAGTGTTTGGAGGAAAGCCAGAAGCCTACTTCCTGGCAAGGGGAAACCAGGGCGGGTAAAACATTCTTCCCAGATAACCTTCTGTGGGGTTCACCGGGTATTGGCTGTGTGCCTCAATAGCTCTTCATGTTCCTTTCTTGGCAATGGTGTGTTCAGACCAGGCAAGATGGCTTCCAGTCCCAACAAGCTGCAGTGTCTCTCTTCAGTGCAGGGTCTGTGAGCACCTAAAAGCATAACCTCCCCACCCTGTGCTCCTCCCCCACTCCCCGGACTGACAGGCCTTTCTTTTTCCAACTCCATGGCAGTGCGTAGGGCCGCCCAGCGGTATGGCCTTCAAGAGGGAGGGGAAGCCAATGACTGGACTCTCTACTGGACGGACTACTCAGTGTCACTGGAGAGGGTGATGGAGATGAAAAGTTACCAGGTATTGTCCGGGGCAGAGCTGGGTCTCAGTAGAAGTGTGGCATCTACCCAGTGGGCCCCCCCCCCTTTTAGGACTGTCCCCCAAGGGGATCTCATGGGTACTCCCATGGCCCCCGTTGTTCATGAATTCTGGTGTCCTTTGTAGAAAATCAATCACTTCCCTGGGATGAGTGAAATCTGCCGCAAGGACTTGCTGGCCAGGAATATGAGCCGCATGTTAAAGATGTTCCCTAAGGATTTCCACTTTTTCCCTAAGACCTGGTGTCTTCCTGCTGAGTAAGTGCCCACCTGTGTTTCCTTCTGCACTACCCACCCCCGATTTCCATTTCCCTCTTGCTCGGGATTCCCGGTGCTACTTTCCCTTCCCAAAGGATCTCCCTTCTCTCTCTCCCTTTCTGGGAAGAGAAGGGATTAAGGGTGTGTCCAAGGTTGAGAGAACACAAGGCTCTGCTATAAAAAATTAGATGACATTTAGGGGCTGGGTGCCTTGGAGCCTGTGCCTGCAGTTGGGATGAGAATTTGTTCTGACCCTGAAAGCTGTTGATTTTGAACTTGTTCCAACCTTTTAACTGCAGCTTCTGAATTTTTAAGGACCCTGAGCACTTCTGGAGGGAGTGAGATAATGGCTAGTGCCCAGATTAGGAGCCGGGAGGGACACCTGGCTTCTGTTCCATGGCAGGACCATGGATGGCAGCCAGCCTTTCCCAGTCTCCTGCCTCACTCTATCCATCTTGAAACTGGGCATCCATGCTTAGTACACAAAATGCTCTAGACCACACCAGTAAGAAACAGAGGGAGTGTGGGATGGCATGAACGTGACCTGGGTACAGTCTGGTCTTTGGGATGAGGAGGAGGGGGGGCAGAGGGACATTGCCATTGGAATTCTCTTCACATGGCGAGAATCCCAGTCTGTCCTCTGCGCCCAGTGCTTTTCCAAACCAAGAGCCCCAGGATTCCCAGACTTCCCTAGCTTGTCCGGAACAACTTTCAGGACTCAGTAGCAACTTAGACGGAAACATGTTTGCCTTCAGGCCAATGGGCTCCTCCAGATTTCAATGGCCACTGAAGAACATTGCAGTGAAGGGACTTCGCAAAGGGTCACCATGCCAATGAGTTCCAATGCAAAACAAGAAGTGTAGCAAGACTGAGATTTAGAATGCCTTAAATTGGTTTCCTTCTTCTGAAGATACTTTCTTCAGAGTGTGTTCAAGGGTAGTAGTTGCGCACTGAGACTCTGGCTGGAGTGGAGGTGTTCCCGGGGAAGAGCTGAAGCCTACAGGAGGGGAAGAGACTGGTTGATCCAAGGTCACACCACCGGTCAGGGCTAGAGCCATGTGCAGAGCTCCACATCTCCTATCTGCAAACCCAGGAAGCCAAAATACTTGGATCACAGCTACCTTCACGGGACATGCAGCACGTATCAGCACCTTGCCTGCCTTCTGTCACGTAATTAACCACCATACAAGACAGGTGATCTTATCCTCATTGTGTAGATGGTGGAATTGAGGCTTAAAGAGGTCAAGTCCTTGCACAGGGTTACAAAGCTGGTGAGTGGTGTCGCCTGGGTTTAAATCCAGGCCTGAGTTCCCTCCGAAGCCCACACTCTCTCCACCATGTGTGCACGTGCATGGCTGTCTCTCTTGTTGCCAGATCTCCCAACACGTGTCTGTTGACTCTGGAGCTTTGTCACATTAGATAGCTTTAGTGTTTTTGTTGTTGTTGCCTTTTTTTTTTTTTTTTTAAATAAAGAGCTAGCCTTCCTTTTCACTGCTCCCCCCCGCTAACAGTGTATCTCATTCCCTCCCTGCTGCTCTGGTAGCTGGGGGGATTTGCAGAACTACAGCAGGTCAAGAAAAAATAAGACATACATTTGTAAGCCGGATTCAGGCTGCCAAGGGAGAGGTATATTCATCACCCGGACGGTGAAAGATATCAAGCCAGGAGAGGATATGATCTGTCAACTCTATATTTCAAAGGTACTTCTTCATTGTGATCATTTCTTTCTATCCCACAACAACCTCAGGCTCTAGCTCCGCTGCACCATGGGAAATGAGGCAGGCAACAGGGGCAAAGCCGAGTCCTGTCTTCTGCCTTGAAAGTTGTCAGACCAGGCCTTCTGACCAGGGATGTGACAGGTGTCTGGGCCAGAGCATCCCTCACCCTTGTACCCTTGTACCTGGTGTGGCCTTACTAGGCTGGCCCGTCACCTCTAGCAGGTGACAGCTGGAGGGCACCTTTAGTCTGTGGATGTCCCACTTCATTTGGGAGAGGGCAATAGTCCTGGAGGGATCATGGTAACCGGCTTTGCTCCAGAGCCAGAGGTCAGAGGTCACAGTGGCATAGCCCACTGCAGGGAGGGAGCCCTCTGGAAGTGTGCGTGGACTGGAAAGGACTGGCCAGCATTGCAGGAAGCACTCTTGCAGAACTGCCATGTAACATAGCCCTAGATGGTGACAACATGTCCTTCATCACAGGACTTTTAATGTTTTTTCAAGATTTTTTAAAAAAGATTTTTTTTATTTATTTATTTGAGAGAAAGAGAGAGCGCACAAGCAGAGGGAGCAACAGAGGGAGAGGGAGAAGCTCCTTCAGCAGGGAGCCCGAAGCGGGGCTTGATTCCAGGACCCTGGGATCATGACCTGAGCAGAAGGCAGCCTCTTAACCGACTAAACCACCCAGGTGCCTCATCACAGGACTTTTTCATGTTACTTTGCTTGGTTGCCAGGAGATCTCTGGGAGGCAGGTACTTGTGCTGTAGGAAACTGAGGCACAAGTGGGGTTTAGTGACTCCCACAGGTCAAGTCCCGTTGTCCTCCTCCCTGGCCCCAGCCCAGCCCGCACTCTGTAGTATCAGGCAAAACCAAGATCAGGCACTAATCTTCAAGTCTGAATCTCTCCTCTGAGGCTTATGTGACTTTTCTTCCCTCCTCACAGCCCTTTATCATTGACGGATTCAAGTTCGACCTACGGATTTATGTGCTGATGACCTCCTGTGACCCTCTGAGGATTTTTGCATACAATGAAGGACTAGCACGCTTCGCCACCACCTCTTACTCCCACCCCAGCACAGACAACCTGGTGAGCTCAGGGGTTGTGCCCTGGCCCCTCCTCCTTAGGGGGATGAAAAATCCCAGTTCAGTCCACATTCTCAAGGCACTGTGGACATGGCTGTTGTTGGTTGAAACTTACCATGTGCCAGGTTGCAGACGTCCAGACGTCCCTTCCTTTAGCCCTCTAAGGAGCCCTCAGAAATAGAGATTATCATCTCCATTTTACAAATGAGGAAATGAAAACTCAGAGTTGAAGGAACTTGTCCAAGGTCACAGAACTGGGAAGAGATGAGGCTGTGACTCGTGGCCAGATCTGCCCTACTGCAAAGCTAGTGCCCCAGATCTGTGGTGCTGGAGGAGAGAAGGCCATGGGCGAGCCCCCGTCCCTCCCCCACCCCCTTCCTGCACTCTGTGATCTCCCAGGATTCCTGAAATGTCTCTCAAGCAGTGAACCACCCAATCTCAGGAGTAGCTGGACTCTCTTCTACCCCAGGCTGAAGGCTACCATTTTACTTCCTCTGTTTTACCAGTTTAAGTAAGCCCCAAGACTTTCCCTCTTTTCCATCGCTTTAAGCCACAGGGGAGGGCACAGAGAAGAAGCAGGAGGCCTGCCCTACCTCCTGACCCCACAGACTTGTGTCTCTTTCCCCAGGATGATATCTGCATGCACCTGACTAATTATTCCATTAATAAGCACAGTTCCAATTTCATTCGAGATGCTCACACTGGAAGCAAGAGGTAAGGAGGCTGCCTCACTTCTCTCTCCGTGCCCTGCCGGTCTCAGAGCTCAGACCCGGCCCGTCCCCATCAGTGTTTCCATCTTGGGTCACATGGGCTCAGCAAATATTTCTTTGCCTCCTTATTCTCTGCCCTCTGGCTGTTAATCATTAAAAGAAGTCTACATCGTAAACCCTAGGAGGTTGGGAGGAGGAGAGATAAACATCCCCAGCAGGACACACACACACACACACACACACACACACACACACACACACACACCAAAACATATGCTTCTTACACTGGGCCCTTCTGACATTTCCAAACCAGTAGATATTTATCGATTCCTAGTCTGCCAAGGGAGAAGGACATGTCAGGCCATTGTTCCTTTGGCCTGTGGTTTTCTGGGTTGCTGCTCCGACAGAGATTCTCGAATGATAGGTCGTGCTGCCTGGTGCGGGCTGCCTGTGGCTGGCTGGCTTTGAGATTCCCCAGAAGGGGAGAAATGGGAAGATTTCATGAGTGTCTTCCCAGTTATTACATTCATGTTATTGTCTGATCCTGTCTCATTTGAGTTTTAGGAAAAAGGGGGAGCTGGAGGAAGTGAACATGGCCAGGTACGAGGGGAAGGGAAAGCAGCACCAGCTAAGGCCCCCGGTGTGGTGGGGCCCGTGCCGGGGGCTCTGTGTGCATTTTTTTCCCCATTGCGTCTTTCCCTCACTATGACAGAGGCATCGTCATCTGCCCTTTGTAGGTGCAGAACTATGACTTAGGTGCCGTCTCCATTTTACAGACAAGGAAACTGAGTCTCTGAGAGGTTAAGCTGCCCAAGGTCACACGGCCGTAAACGCTAGAGCGGGATGAGAAGGCAGGTCTGTCAGATTGCGGGGCGCATGCTCTGTCCCCCACGCCGGGCTTCAAAGGACTGATAAACACACAGTCGGTTTGGCTTCAAAGCATCAGAGAGGCACGTGAAATTTCACAACGCCCCTGGTGGCTGGCAGACTTCCAAAAAGCAAATGGAAAAGCACTGGCTGAAGCCTGCTCGAAGGGGAAGTCTCCCCTGTTTCAGAGGGCGCCAGCACCCGTCTTTCCCGAAGCTCTCCCACCTCCTGGGCTCCCCACCCGGCCCGCGGGCACCAGCTCAGCCTCCTTCGCTGCTGTGGGCCGGGCCCAGAGCCGTGCTCAGTGAGGCCTGGCTTTCAGGCTCGGCCCTGCCTCTCACCAGCTGAGCCCGCACGGGCCGGTGTCTTCAGCATTCTGAGCCCCCGCCCCTTGGTGTGTAAGGTGAGGGCAGCGAGATGCCCTGCCCTGCCCTCCCCCGTCCTACGTGCCCTGCCCACCTCCCAGGGTCACTGTGAGGCTCAAATGACCCGTGATAGCCAGGGGGACACTGCCTGTGGTTACTGTGATTTTTCCTCAGTCCGAAGGCATGTAACCTAAGGGCCCCTGTTTCCCTCCTCTTATGAGAAGACACCCTGACGACAGGCTTTGGGCTCTCAGGCCATGACGGAAGGGGTGTTAGGGGGTGCCAGGACTCAGGGGAGAGTGTGTAGTATTGTTTGGTCGCCCTGCACCCCCTCCTGCCTTCCTCCTCCTTTTCCTCACCTCTCTTCCCCCCAAGGTGAGGCCTTGCCCCTCTGCTCCGCTACCCTGGCCTCCACCCTGTCCCCTCTCCCTGAGCTCCAGGCTCATTCCTGCTCAGAGCACCCTGACATCTGTTGCCTCCAGCTCAGCGTTTTCTCGCTCCTTGCTCCCACCCCAGCCTTCCGAACCGGCTGCCCTGCCCGGCTTCCCCCTCTCTGCCTCCGGACCTGCAGGATTAGAGAGTTTGGTGTCATCTCTGCTGTTGAGTCCTGAATGTTCCTCCTGCAGATGTCCCTGTGTCCCTTCCTTTCCACCAGACCCAGGCCTCGCTTCAGCCTCAGACCTGATGGGTGCTCAGACACCACTTTCCACTGTTATCCTACTACACTGGTGGTCAGCATTCTATTCGTTGAGGACTTGCTAGGTGCCAGGCACTGGTCTAAGAAACAGACACACCACAGCCCATCTAATCCTCACAACAACACTCCAAAGTAAGAATTATTATTATCAGCATGATTTTGCATATTAGGAAACAGGTGTCAAAGGTTAAGTAACTTGCCCAAGTTTCCACAGCTGAGAGGTAGGAGTGTCGCAACAAAAACTCCCGAGTCTCTACCCTTCACCACTAGGCCACACTGTCTGTCTGTCCGCTCCATGGTGTTCCACCAGGACACTTGGGGGCTCACATTCCATATATAGGCTTGCTCATTTCCACTTCTCCATCTTTGCTCAGCTCTAACCGAAAATATGTGAGAACATCCTTGAAGGACCTTCTGGCTCACTAGGCTTCCATGTTGCCTTCTCTGATCTGGCTCTAGATCCTGGTCCAGCCATATGGCCACTGTGCAGCCAGCCTTTGTTTGCTCACTTAATCAGATGAGAGAATTGGGGTCCATCTCTGAGGACGAGCCTGTGGAATCTGAGTCAAACCACCCACAGGAACCTTCCCATCTCTGGACTCCCACCACCCTCTGGTCAACATCAGCCATAGCCCATAACTGCTCTTGGCTTGGTGCACACGTTCATCATGTGTTCTCAATTGTACTTAAACTCCTTGAGGGTTAGAGTGGCGCCCTGGCCTCTGGGCGCCTCCATGTGCCATGTGCCAGGCAGAGTCTTTCTTTCTGTCCCTTCCTTTTCCTTTCACCTTCCCTCTTCTTCCTCTTCCGCATCTTCTGAGGCGATCTGCTTCTCATGCTGACTGCCTCACCTGCTCACACTTCCCCCATCCTCAGCGTGAGGCCATCTGTGCCCCCGGTAAACCCCCCAGCAGCCGCACACTCAGCAGGAGCAGTGAAGGAGGGGAGGCAGAATGACTGGAAATCTGGCAGGGCTTAGGGGCAGAGACCAGGTCCTCTGCATCTTTCAGGGTGCCTGGCACATAGCTGATGTGTTAAATTGAATCGGCTAACCACTGGGCATTATGAAATTATACAATAATGTATATTCATTTTGATGTGCCTGAGTCATCAAGAAGAGGTTATGTTATGATTTGCAGTGTCTGTTATAAGAAGGCAGGGAAGTGTATAATCTATTTTGGGAAAATTTATTTCCCAATTAAGCAAATTAAATACATTTTTTTTTGCACTTGAATGGTTTGGCTTCAAGCGATCTGGAAAATTCATTTAGGTGCTACACTTTATTCCCTGACAATGGCAGGTAGAGGCAGTGGGCCTCTGTATTGAGCGGCCTTTGCTAATCTGTCTTTATATAAATGCATCCTTGGTTGTTTCATATGTGTGTTGACTCCCCCAGTGGTCTTTAGGCTTCCCATGACAGTGGGGGGCAATTTCTTAGGATTCTCTCATTTCCCGAGCTTTGCGTGTACAGCAGGCTCTTAGCAAGTTTGCATTGGCTGACCACCCCTGCTTCCTCCTTTTTGGCTTCACTGGCTGGGGCCCAGTGAGCTCTTTGGACTGTCTGTGAGCCATGTCTCTTGTCTTATTTTCCTCTTCACGCCCCTGCGTCTCTTCCTTCCATATTTCCACTTCCCATTTCAGCTCTGTGCCTATGAGTGGATGTGTATGTGTCCCCACCATTGTCTTTCAGACCTGTTAGATTCGCCTCCTTTCTGTATGACCCAGCTCAGAGCTGACCAGAGCACCCCTTTATTTTTTTTTATTATTATGTTATATTAATCACCATACATTACATCATTAGTTTTTGATGTAGTGTTCCATGATTCATTGTTTGGGTATGACACCCAGTGCTCCATGCAGAACGTGCCCTCTTTAATACCCATCACCATGCCAGCCCATCTGCCCCTCCCCTCTAGAACCCCCAGTTTCTTTCTCAGAGTCCATCGTCTCTCATGGTTCATCTCCCCCTCCGATTTCACCCCCTTCATTCTTCCCCTCCTGCTATCTTCTTGTTCTTTTTTTTTTTTGACATATAATGTATTATTTGTTTCAGAGGTACAGGTCTGTGATTCAACAGTCTTACACAATTCACAGCGCTCACCATAGCACATACCCTCCCCAATGTCTATCACCAGCCGCCCCATCCCTCCCACCCCCCACCACTCCAGCAACCCTCAGTTTGTTTCCTGAGATTAAGAATTCCTCATATCAGTGAGGTCATATGATACATGTCTTTCTCTGATTGACTTATTTCGCTCAACATAATACCCTCCAGTTCCATCCACGTCGTTGCAAATGGCAAGATTTCATTCCTTTTTATGGCTGCATAATATTCCATTATATATATATATCACTTCTTCTTTATCCATTTACCTGTCGCTGGACATCTTGGCAGAGCACCCCTTTAAGTGTTTCCTCATGAACCATAGACATCCTCTGATCTCTGTAATAGGGTGACAGGTCATCTCAGTTTGCCCGTGACTGAGGGGTTTCCCAGGATGTGAGACTTTCAGTTCTTTTTTTAAAAAATTTATTATTTTTTAAAATTTTATTTGATTTAAATTCAAGTAGTTAACGTAGAGTGTATCATTAGTTTCAGAGGTAGAGGTCAGTGATTCATCAGTTGCATATAACACCCAGTGCTCATTACATCACGTGCCCTCACCGTCATCACCCAGTTATGCCATCTGCCCTCCCAGCAACCTTCAGTTTCTTTCCTAGAGTTAAGACTCCCTTATGGTTTGTCTCCCTCTCTGTTTTCATCTTATTTTATTTTTCCTCCCTTCCCCTATGTTCATCTGTTTTGTTTCTTAAATTCCATGTATGAATGATATTATATGGTATTTGTCTTTCTCTGACTGACTTATTTCGCTTGGCATGATACCCTCTAGTTCCAACCACATTGTTGCAAATGGTAAGATTTCTTTTTTTTGATGGCTGAGTAATATTCCATTGTATATATCTACCACATCTTCTTTATCTAAAATCGGGACTGTCCTGGTTTGCCTGGGACAGTTGGTAACCCTATCTGTGGAAATGCCCCAGGGCTGCCTTTTCTTTGTGGATAGTCCTCAAGCAAAGTTTCTGTGTCTTTTTTTTTTTTTTAAAGATTTTTATTTATTTATTTGTCAGAGAGAGAGAGAGAGAGAGAGAGAGAGAGCACAAGCAGGGGGAGCAGTAGTGGGAGAGGGAGAAGCAGGCTTCTCACTGAGCAAGGAGCCCGATGTGGGACTCGATCCCAGGACCCTGGGACCATGACCTGAGCTGAAGGCAGACGCTTAACGACTGAGCCACCCAGGCGCCCCAAGTTTCTGTGTCTTTAGCATCCCCAGAATCCTGTGCTGTGGGACCCAGGTATTGGTGTTCTTAAAAGTCTCCCTGTGTGTTTCTAATGAACACCAAAGGTTGAGAAACTATTTGCCATCAAAGCAAAGCCATGATGTAGGGTGTGTTTTTTTTTTTAATATTTTTTATTCACCCATTAAGCTTTCCCCTTGGAATACCCAGTCCCTGCCCCAGCCTCACAGGTGTTTTCTGGATCACAGTGATAGTGCCCAAGCCAGGTCTTATGTGTCATCATCTGCACCCACTTCCAGGCTGTGGAGGCTTAAGTACTGTGGCCCTGTGGCTCCTGCAGTCCCCTCCTGAGCTGACACAGCCCTGTTGTCACCCTGGGTCCTGGGTGTCTGTCACCATTACCTCTGGGGACTTAACGTCTCCAAAAGTTTCTGGTTTCCCGCAGGAGATGGCCTTAGATGACCAGAGGTGGGCTGCCTTGCCTCACGGCCTGTGGTTTCCTTCCAGGAAGCTCTCCACCTTCAACATGTACATGGAAAACCACGGCTACAACATGGAGCAGGTCTGGAGAGATATCGAGGATGTCATCATCAAGACGATCATCTCCGCCCACCCCATCATCAAGCATAACTACCACACCTGCTTCCCCAACCACACACTCAACAGTGCTTGCTTTGAAATCCTGGGCTTTGATATTTTGCTGGACCACAAACTCAAGCCCTGGCTGCTGGAGGTAGAGGGGCTGGGCGAGGGGTGAGAACTGACTGCTGTTCCTGGGGTCAGCCAGTATCAAGGCTCATCCCTTCATCCCCGGCTCAGCCAGATCATTTTAATCAACTTCCTGGCCAGGCCTATTCATCCGGCGGCAGTGCTGGCTGCCTGGGGCTCCTCCCTTAGCTGAGAAGTGGCCACCAGAGGGGGGTAGATGGCCAAGAATTAGAGAGTTCCTTGTGCCTTCTTGAGGTCCACCCAGACCTGGAAACTTTGATCGCAGGCACAGAAAGACTCTAAAGACAACTTGATTTTTTTGTCACAGAATTGTCTCCCAGAAAGGGGGTGTTCTTCATCAAAGCTGGATGATGATGTTCCAGATCAGAACCAGGCCTGGCTCTCAGGGGCTTGGGCCACTCAGGTCCAAGCACCAACAGAGAGTGGCCTGGTGTGTGTGGCCAAGGGAATGGGTGGGGAGCCCCTCGGTGAGTTTCCTGACTTCCCCAGACCCATGGCAGGGTGGATAGAGGAGGGCAGGGTGGCTGTCTCTCTTCCCCATTAGACCTGCGCTCAGCAGCCCTCAAGGGACCCTTCAGTCCGCATTATAGGAGGTGGGGATTGGAGGAGCCAGGTGCCAAGTCGGAGTTGCTAGGGCTGGTTGGCACAGAGTCAGAGTCTTCAGAAGGCAAAACCAGAATCATGGGTCCCCTTCCTGGGGCCTTGCCTTTCCTCCATTCCCAGCCCTTGTTGACAGGTGTAGGTGGGAAGGAGAATATGGCTGTTTGAGCTCTTATACAAAGAGCGGAATTGGCCACCAGGCACAGGCCTTCAGAAACTGCTAGAAATCTTCAAATGTTACAGAGTGCATCTAAATGATCTGGTCTTTTCTGTGAGCAGGAATGAGGCCTCTCCCTCCTCCCACCTGCCTCCCTCTCTCGATCCTGGTGAGGGTCCAGAATGCATCACTCTGGCTTCTTCCCCACCTCCCAGCCTGGTCCTTTGGACTGCGCCCTTCTCTCTGCTTTAGGGCATGCTATGTAAGCAAGAGAGCACACCCACCAGGGGGAGGGAAAGCAAAGACAGGGCACCCCTGATGCTTCTCAAGAGGAAAGGACTGAAATCGAAGCTGGTTAAACTAGAGGAGGTTCTGCTTTCTCCTCTCTTCACCGTGACTCTGGGGCAGACTCCCTCTCCCTCTGTTCCATCTGGCAGCCAGGGCCCCATGCTGGGCTTAGGTAGCTCCCTGGAGGTGGCGTTTTGGCCTTGCTCCCTGCTTCCACGCTGGACAGCCCAGCCCCCTGCTGCCCTCCCAGGTTAACCACTCTCCAAGCTTCTCCACCGACTCCTGGCTGGATAAAGAGGTGAAAGACAGTCTGCTATATGACACCTTGGTTCTGATCAACCTGGGAAACTGTGACAAAAAGAAAGTCTTGGAGGAGGAGAGACAGCAGGGGCGATTCCGGCAGCGATGTCGTTCTTGGGAGACCAGGTACGGAGGTGCCCCCGCACCCTGGGGACCCCATTCTCTATGACTTCCCTGCTCCCAGTAAGACTGGCCTGTCCTGGTCCTCGACAACGTACTAGTTATGTGGCCTTTACGTCTCTTCTTTGAGCCTCAGTGTTCCTTCTGTGAAATGGAGCCAGTGATCTATAAGGTGGAATTAAATGAGATAAGGTATAATAAAAGGTTCATCATAGTGCCTGGCACTATAGTGTGTGTTAGAGGTGGTGAAGAGTCTTGCCTGGCGGGGGCAGGCAAAATGAGTGAAGGAGGTTAAGAGGTACAAACTTCCAGTTATAAAATAAATAAGTCATGGGGAGGTAATGTAGGGCATGGGGACTGTAGTTAGTAAGGCTGTCTTGCGTATTTGAAAGTTGCTAGGATCTTAAAAGTTCTCATCACAAGAAAAACCATTTTTTTAAAAGATTTTATTTGTCAGAGAGAGAGAGAGAGCTCATGAGCAGGGGGAGGGGGAGATGGAGAAGCAAGCTCCATGCTGAGCAGGGAACCCGACGCGGGGCTCGATCTCGGGACCCAGGAATCATGACCTGAGCCGAAGGCAGATGCTTAATGGACTGAGCCACCCAGGCGCCCCCCCCAAAAAATTTTTGTTAACTGTGTATGGTGACAGATGTTAAGTAGACTTATTGTGGTGATCATTTCACAATACACACAAATAGCGAATCGTGTTTGCACACCTGGGAAACTAACAGAATGTTCTATGTCAATTATACTTCAACTTAAAAAAGTCATTACATTTAAAGAAAGAATCTTGCTTGGAGCTGGTGGGGAGTGGAGTCAGTTCTAACAAATGATAATCCTATTTGGAATATTAGTTTATATTTGCAGAATGTGGCAGCTTGTACAGTTTTACTGTGAGCATTTTTTTGGCACATAAAAATAGGAGATTAAGTTATAGACAGACTATATATCATGGATATGAGTTTACTAATATAACATGAAGATTTAGGGATTACCAATCAAAAAATAAAACCGTTGCTTTATGGAGCGCTTGGGTGGCTCAGTCGGTTAAGCATCTGCCTTCGGCTCAAGTCATGATCCCGGGGTCCTGGGATCGAGCCCTGCATCGGGCTCCTTGCTCAGCGGGAAGCCTGCTTCTCCCTCTACTCCCCCCCCCCCCCCCCCCGCTCGTGATCTCTCTCTCTCTCTCACTGTGTCTCTCTCTGTCAAATAAATAAATAAAATCTTTCAAAAAACAAACCCGTTGCTTGATTTTTACAGAAAGACACACTAGTCTGACCTGCCCCATGTCACTGGGTTGGTGGGGGCGAGCGTCCCCTGCTCCCTGCACGGCAGCATTTGCCTGTGAACAGGGGCCTTGGTTCTGCAGAGTGATTTTAGTGCCTGAAGACTCGGAACGCAGCCGAGGAGACGCCTGTGTTGCTTTTCAGACCCCGCGGCAGTTGCCGCACCCCCATGAGCAGAGCCTGCTGAATCTTGGGCACGGAGCTTTGGGAACTGGGGCAATAGCATCTGTGTTCGGAGGCCACTGGGTTTCTCGGAGCACTTTTGCCTGTGAACTGTCTTCCCTCTGAGGAGGGTTGGTAGCAGGGAGTACTGTATGGTCCTGTGGCTGGAGCTAAGGAGACCAGGCTTCTGGGAGGGGAACTGACTTGTGTGCAAGGTCCCCTCGCTGGGAAGTGGCAGGGCTGGGGCTGGAGCGCAGCGAGTGTGCTGCTTGGGATCCCAGAATAGCTTCCCCTGTGCCAGTGTTCTCCCCGCTTCTCAAGGAGGAGGCAGCATCCGCTAGGGCAGAGCTGGGGCCCTCCCCTGAATCATCCTCTTGGTCATGACTTGGCCCTGGGTAGCTCAGTGCCCTCGGTTTGCCTGCTGTAAGAGGGGCTTCTCATTCCTCCCTCCCTGACCTCCACCTCCCCGAGGGGCTGTGAGGGAGAATGAGGTCATTGCAGCTCGTAAAAGCACATCCGTGAAGCCCTCAAATTTAGCCAAACACAAGCTGCCGTTCTCCAGAGGAGGGTTATAGGGGCTGCGAACGGGGAGGTGGTGACAGTCGGCCTCCTCAGAGCTGAGCCAAGGGGAAGGGGGTTTTTGTATGAGGAGAGAGTCTGGTGAGCTGTCAGAATGACTGTTCTGACCAGCTTTCCTTGAATCATGACATTGGCTGTCCCAAGAGGGCTAGAATCTCCTTTCAGCAAATACGGGCGGGCCACTGTTGTGCGCAAGGCCTTGGCCTGGCCCCAGGGGACATCCAGCTTGGCACGTCCCTTCCAGGCTCTGTCCCAAGAAAATCCACGGCAGCCCTGTGTTCTGTTCCCCCCCAGGATGGAGGAGGTCAAGGGTTTCCAGGCCGTGCAGTTGGAGAAAACTGAGAAGTACGAGAAGGAGAACCGTGGGGGGTTCCGCCTGATTTATCCTACTCTGAATTTGGAGAAGTATGACAAGTTTTTCCAGGACAACAACTCCCTCTTCCAGAATACTGTTACCTCCAGGGCTCGGGAGGTGTATGCCCGGTAGGAAGGCTCCGGGCGGGGTGGGTGGGTGTTGGGACGGGTTGGGTCGTGCTTGAACTTCTGGGGGACGGGCCTGGGATGGTGAGGAGGGTCTTTGAGCTTCAGTCCCCAACCCAGAAGTTGCCAGGGGGAACATTTGCTTTAGTCTCACGAGAACCAGGAATCATGATTCCTTGGTGTGGGGTGTTCAGTAGATATGTAGCTGTTCCTAGAAACTCCCTCCCAAGACAGGCACCTTCACCCTTCTCCAGAATTCCCAGGGAGCTCCCTCCTGGATTCACACAGGCATGAAATCTAAGAGCTGGAAGGGACCCATCCTGTCCAGTCCAATCCCTACCTATCACCTCATTTTTTTTAATGATTTAATTTATTTGACAGAGAGAGACACAGCGAGAGAGGGAACACAAGCAGGGGGAGGGGGAGAGGGAGAAGCAGGCTTCCCGCCGAGCAGGGAGCCCGACGTGGGGCTCGATCCCAGGACGCTGGGATCATGACCTGAGCTGAAGGCAGACGCTTAATGACTGAGCCACCCAGGCGCCCCCATCACCTCATTTTATGGACGGGGAAGTCAGAGCACAGAAGGGGTCATATAGTAGGTGATGACAAAAGAGGAATGGGAACTTAACAATAAAAAAATTAAAAAAAAAAAAAAAAGAGGAATTGGGATCCCTGTCTCCTGACCCATGTGACTGCGTTATTCCCACTACATCATTGGCCAGAGAGGCCCAGGATATAAAGTGGTCCAATGTGGGGGCCCCTTGTTTGACCACCCACCCAGACCCTCTTCCCGGCACCTGCCATGTGTGGGATTTGGCCTCGGGTAGAGCGGCTGACTTTGCATCACTCCTTGGATGCTATTCCCCAGACTGGGAATGGTGTGGTGGGAAGCATGGCTGTCCCCTCCACCTCCTGCTCTGGGCCCTGCAATCATTTGTGCAGGCTGGACACGCGGAGGGAGGACCCTGCGCTCTTTGGCAAGCATCATCCACCCCTCAGGGAGGGTGCCCACATTTGTAGCCCATCCCTAACCTCCACGACCCTCCCTGTTCCTCCTGGACAGGCAGCTGATCCAGGACCTAAGGCTGAAACAGGAGAAAAAGTCCTTCCAAACGAAGGAGAAGGTGGAGATGCAGGGGGAGTCGGCCGGCGAGCAAGCGAGGGGCAAGAGCATGAGGAGCTGCCGACAGAAACCACAGCAGAAACACCAGGCCGCCACCCTCACCTTCAAACAAGTAAACCCTGCTGGGAGGGGAGCGTGTGTGCCTGGCACCCTTCCCTGGCTGGGGCCGCCCCATGGGGGGCGGTGCTCAGGAGACCGCTACTCAGATCCCTGACGCACTGAATGAATGGGGCTGACAAAGGGCTGGGCCACAGGAGGGGGAGCCTGGAAGTCGCAAGGAGCCTGGCATCCTTCAGAAGACTCTCACTGGTCTGTCCTTACCTCGTCCGGCGGGAGGAAAAGCAGCCGGGGAGGCTGAGCACGATCCCCACGTAGGGAGCGGGCGCCAGGATTACTTAATACTCATGGATCCCAACCCCAGTTTGGGTTGGAATGTTCCCCTCTAGCAGGCCAGGGGTACAGCTGAGAGAGGGGGCCGCAGAGAAGGGCTGCAGGGAGGCAGGACCCTCACCATTATGTGGGGTGATGGACCGCAGCTGGGTCCTTCCAGCCTGCTCTCTGCTCAAAGTGCGGACCAGCCCTGGACGGGGCGCCAGCAGTCCCGTTGTCCTACAGTCCCGAGTCTTTGGATTGCCCCTCTCTGCTTCACTGTCTCTTCTGGCTCAGTGGGAAGACTCAGTTGGCTTTTTGGTCCATCTCCTTTTTCTTGAACCCTCACCTAAAGGAACAGGATGAGAGCAGGATATTTTTTTTTTTTTTGTATTTTGTAACTTTGCTAGGGTCATAGGCCTTTTGAGAAACTGATAAAAACTATGATACTCTCTTGCCATAAAGTATACAAAGATACAGTTTTAAAACTGCAGTTTTAAGTGGCCCAAAGACCCCGTGAAACCGTCCATGAACCCTCTAGGAGTCCCTGCACCCCAGGATCAGAACCTCGGATTAGAGAGACTTTGATACCATTTGCTTTCCTTCTCCTCCTCCTCCCCTTGGCACCTCCCCTTGGTGCAGATGAATCTGGAAGTGGACAGAGCTGGGTTCCCACAGGCTGTGTTTGGTTTCCTCCTTCCCAGCGTCTCCAGCCAATGGCATTGGTATCCTGCACACCTGACTTGCTCTTGAGTGTCAGAGATGCAAAGACAAATGAGACAGACAGCATCCTCGACCAGGAGACCCCCACGAAAGGGGCCAGCCCTCCTCCCTGCAAGCCTATAGCTGCAAGACGATACACCTCTGTACCTGACCTGAGGCACTCAAGCCTTCTCAGCTGCCCGGGGCTGGGGCTCAGTCAACCCATCCCCAGAATCAAGGAGGTCAAGTCTGCCTCTGCAGTGAACATATTCACCAGCACTGGGGTGAGTAGAGCGGTCTACCTCCCCAGAGGGCTCAGCTCAGGGGCCAGTGGTAGGAGCCTTGCTTTCTGGTCCCTTCTATCCTCCTGACTTGCTGTCTCCCTTTGAGTAAGCCACTTAAGACTCGATATCCCCACCTGTGAAGCCCAAGTTATGCAAGAGCATACGTGCTAGGAGAATGGACCTATACGTGAAGCCCAAGTTATGCAAGAGCATACATGCTAGGAGAATGGACCTATACTTTGAGGGCTTTTCCAATGGCTGTCTTCTGCACCCCAACTTTTTTTTAAAGATTTTATTTATTTATTTGAGAGATAGAGAGCACGAGAGGGCAGAGGGTCAGAGGGAGAAGCAGACTCCCTGCCGAGCAGGGAGCCCGATGTGAGACTCGATCCCAGGACTCCAGGATCATGACCTGAGCCGAAGGCAGTCGCTTAACCAACTGAGCCACCCAGGCGCCCACTGCACCCCATCTTTAAGCATGTTCCCACCTGCTGCGTTAGCTTCCTGTGGCTGCTGGAGCAAATCACCGTGGACTTGGGGGCTTAAAACACAAATTTATTCTTTCACAGTTCTGGAGGCTAGAAGTCTGAAAACAAGGTGTTGGCAGGGCCGTGCTCCATCTGAAGGCTCTAGAGGGAGGATCCTTCCTTGCTTCTTGCTAGATTCTGGTGGTTGCCAACAATCCTTGGAGCTCCTTGGCTTGTAGCAGTGGGACTCCAACCTCTGCCTCTGTTGGCACATGGACTCCCTCTTTGAGTTTCTCCTCTGTAGATCTTCATGTGGCCTTCATATAAGGACACCAGTCATCGGACTTAGGGCTTACACAGATCCATATGACCTCACTTTAACTTGACTCATGATATCTGCAAAGACCCTATTTACAAATAAGGTCACATTCTGAGCTTTGTGGCAGTGTTGAACCCAGTTCATCCCTTAAACAGTGTTTCTCAAACTCCATTTGTGTATGGACACCTGTTGAAGGAAAGAAAACTCTCTCAGATCCCCATTGTAGCCGTAAATAACTTTTATAGATATATACAAACATAAAACCAGATATATAAAATCTTTATGTTTATAACTCTTATACAACTATGAAATCAAAACAAACATCACCAATGAAATTCACATCAAAAATATTAATTGAATGTGACAGCTGATTTTTTATTTTCGCAGACACTAAGATGCCACATGAATGTGGTACTGACAGTTCTAGAACGGGTTTTTTTTGTGTTTACTGTAGTCAGGCCCACCAAAGGCTATGTGATGACTGTATTGTAAGTACTGGAAAACCTTCAGCATTGTTGGGCCTTTGCCAAGTCCAAATGCAGTATGGAAGAGTGTGATGCTTTTCAAGTTCCTAACCATAGCCCACAGTAGAAATCTGTTTTATTTTATCCATCCATACACACACTGGAAAAAAGTTTCTAAAACAATGATGAGCCATACAACATATGGTAACTCCTTTGATATTTTTTATTCTCTTCTGTTTTGTTCTTTCAAAAATACCAGTTCCTGGAGCACCTGGGTGGCTCAGTTGGCTAAGCATCTGCCTTCAGCTCAGGTCATGATCCCAGGGTGCTGGGATCGAGCCCCACATTGGGCTCCCAGCTCAGTGGGGAGTCTGCTTCTCCCTCTCCCCTTGCTTATGTTCTCTCTGTCTCTGTCTCTCTCTCAGATGAATAAATAAAATCTTAAAAAATAAATAAATAAAAATACCGGTTATAATCCACTAAATTAATTTCATGATTTATTAATAGGTTTACAGCCACAGTTCGATAAACACCTTTAAAAGAATAGGCTTTGGGGGGGCGCCTGGGTGGCTCAGTCATTAGGCGTCTGCCTTCGGTTCAGGTCATGATCCCAGGGTCCTGGGATTGAGCCCCACATGAGGCTCCCTGCTCCGCGGGAAGCCTGCTTCTCCCTCTCCCACTCCCCCTGCTTGTGTTCCTGCTCTTGCTATCTCTCTCTGTCAAATAAATAAATAAAATCTAAAAAAAAAAATAGGCTTTGGAACTTCATGACATTGGATTTCACAGATATGACACCAAAAGCAGGGCCGCCTGGCTGGCTCAGTCGGAAAAGTGTGTGGCTCTTTATCTCAGGGTGGTGAGTTCAAGCCCCATGTTGCATGTAGAGATTACTTAAACAAACAAACAAATAAACTTTAAAAAAAAGAGCAAGGGCGCCTGGGTGGCTCAGTTAGTTAGGCGACTGCCTTCAGCTCAGGTCATGATCCTGGAGTCCCGGGATCGAGTCCCACATCGGGCTCCCTGCTCAGCAGGGAGTCTGCTTCTCCCTCTGACCCTCCCCGCCCTTGTGCTCTCTCTCTCTCTCATCCTCTCTTTCAAATAAATAAATAAAATCTTAAAAAAAAAGCAAAAATAGGTAAGTGAGACTATATCAAACTTGAACAATCAACAGAGTGAAAAGGCAACCTGTGAAATGGGAGAAAATATTTTCAAACTATGTATCTGATAAGGGGTTCATATCTAGAATATATAAAGGACTCTTATAACTCACACCAAAGATAAACTGATTTTAAAATGGGCAAAGGATTTATGGATGGCCCAGTTGGTTGAGTGCCTGACTCTTGGTTTTGGCTCAGGCTGTGATCTTGGGGTCATAGGGTCAAGCCCCCCATTGGGCTCTGTGCTCAATGTGGAGTCTGAGATTCTTTCCCCCTCTTCCTCTGCCCGTCCCCCTGCTCTTTCTTAAATCAATCAATCAATCAATCAATCAATCAAACAATCTTGAAAAAAAATGGGCACCTGGGTGGCTCAGTTGGTTAAGCGTCCAACTGTTGGTTTCAGCTCAGGTCATGATCTCATGGGTGTGGGATTGAGCCCCATGTCAGGCTCCCTACTAAGCGGGGAGTCTTCCTGGAGGTCTGTGGCACAGCAATGGGCATATTGTTAACACTATTTACTCTATACTTAAAAACGGTTAAGGTAGCAAATTTTATGTGTGTGTGTGTGTGTATGTGGGGTTCCTTTTTTTCCTGCAATAAAAAAAAGAGTAAAGAGTATGCATTGGGATCTGGCTGCCTCTGTTTGAATCCTGGAGTCTTCTCTAATGACTTGCATCTAGTCACTCTTCTCTCCCTAAGCCTCAGTTTCCTCATCTAAAAAAACAAAAAAAATGGAATTTTGACACCTGGGTGGCTCAGTTGGTTAAGCGTCTGACTTCAGCGTAGGTCATGATCCCAGGATCCTGGGATCCAATCCCCTGTTGTCAGGCTTTGCACTCAGCTGGAGTCTGCTTCTCCCTCTCCCTCTGCCCCTCCTCCTGCTCCTGCACTCTCTCTCTCTGTCTCTGTCTCTTTCTCTCAAATAAATAAATAAAATCTTTAAAAAATGGAATTTTAATAATAGTTCCTACCAGTGGATTGCTTTGAGGCTTAAGTGGAAGAATACATGAAAATGTGGAGAGTGACACCTGCCACATAGAATTCAGGAAGCTTTAGCTGCTATTTTAATATTACTGCGACTTCTTAAGACTGCCTTTGTTCTTCTCTCATTAATCTAAGATGTAAAGTAGTACTACTTAACTCCAAAGAGATTTTTAAAAATGAGGCAGTAACATTTTATTGTTTTTTTTCTTTTCTGGATTTCATGTGCAGAGGGTTAATTTAATAAAAAGCCCTGGTTCATTCAAAGCCTTTGCATCTTTCATTTATTTATTTTTCCCTTTTATCTCTATGCTCACCTCCCATTCTCCTATCCACCATCTTTTGTTAGTATGTTTCCTGGCAAAGTAGGGATTTTTTTTTAATATATGCATTTAAACTTTATTTAAATGTGATTGGGTCATTTATCTCATTCTATGACCTATTCTTTTTCTTGTTGAGCCTGTTTTCCTTTTTTTTCTTTTATTTATTTTCTTTTATTATTTTTTTTTAAAGATTTTATTTATATATTTGACAGAGAGAGACACAGCGAGAGAGGGAACACAAGCAGGGGGAGTGGGAGAGGGAGAAGCAGGCTTCCTGAGGAGCAGGGAGCCTGATGTGGGGCTCGATCCCAGGACCCTAGGATTATGACCCAAGCGGAAGGCAGACGCTTGACTGAGCCACCCAGGCGCCACCCCCTTCTTCTTCTTCTTCTTCTTTTTTTTTTTTTTTTGCTGTGGTTCCCTCTTTTAAATAAATAAAAAAAAAAAAACTTTTACCAAAAAAAATAGATTTATTTATTTTAGAAAGAGAGAGCATGTGCACACACACACATTGGGGGTGGGGCTGAAGGACAGAGAGAGAGAGAGAGAGAGAGAGAGAGAGAAAAGAGAGAATCTCAGGCAGACTCCCTGCTGAGCGAGGAGCCTGAATGGGGGCTGGATCTCAAAACCCTGAGATCACGAGCCGAAATCAAGAGTTGGACGCTTAACCGACCAAGCCACCCAGGTGCCCCCCTCTTTTCAAAAGTTTATTTAAGTAAATCTCTACACCCAACATGGGGCTTGAACTCACAAACACAAGATCCAGAGTCACATGCTCTTCTGACTGAGCCAGCCAGGTGCCCCATAATGCTTGGATCTTAACTGAACAATTCTGACAAAAGAAATACACCCATGTATCCTATATCCCTATTGAAGTATAGAAATTTCTAACCTCTCTGGAAAGTTCCCTCCTGTCCTTTCCCAGGCAATTACCCCCCAGTCCTGTGCGTCTCTCTTCAAGGAATCCACTGTCCTGACTCTGACTTTTTTGACCTTGGACTATTTTGCCTGTTCTAGAATTTTCTATAAATAGAATGATATAGTACATATTCTTTTGTGTTTGGTTTCTTTACCTCAATATTATATCTGTGAGATCCATTCACGTTGTTGGGTTTATCAATAGTTTGTTCTTTATTGCTGAATTATATTCTGTTGTACAAATATACTGTAGTTTGTTTATCATTCTCCTGTTGGTGGACATTTGGGTTATTCCCAGTTTTTATTTTTTATTGCTATTGTGATTAAAGTTCCTGTGAACATTCCTGTATTTGTGGACATATGTTTTTATTTCCCTTGAATAACTACCTAAGAGAGGGTTGCTAGGTCAAAGGGTAGATCTATGCATAACTTGTAAGAAACTCCAAAATCTTTATTTAAAATGATTATATCATTGTACATTTCAGCCAACAATGAATGAGAATTCCAGTTGCTCCATCTTTGTCAACATTTGGTGTTATCTTTTAGATTTTAGCCACCCTAATAGCTATTTGTGATTTCACATTGTGGTTTTAATTTGCATTTCCCTGATGATTAAGTGTGTTGAGCACTTTGCCAGGTGCTTATTGGTCATTCATATATCTTTTTTTTTTTTTTTAACAGAAATGTTGACATTCTTTTTTTTTTAAGATTTTATTTATTTATTTGACAGAGAGAGACACAGCGAGAGAGGGAACACAAGCAGAGGGAGTAGGAGAGGGAGAAGCAGGCTTCCTGAGGAGCAGGGAGCCTGATGTGGGGCTCGATCCCAGGACCCTAGGATTATGACCCAAGCGGAAGGCAGACGCTTGACTGAGCCACCCAGGCGCCACCCCCCCCTTTTTTTTTTTTAAGATTTTCTTTATTTATTTGAGAGAGAGAGCATGAGAAGGAGGGGCAGAGGGAGAGGAAGAGAGAATCTCAAGCAGACTCCTAGCTGAGAGCAAAATTGGACACAGGGTTCAATCTCACGTCCCTGAGATCATGACCTGAGCTGAAACCAAGAGAGAGACACATAACCAACTGTGCCACCCAGGCTCCCCCATTCATATGTCTTTCTTTGTGAAGAGTGTGTCAAGTTTTTGCTTCCCTCTTTTAAAAATTAGGATTATTTATTTTTTATTATTGAGTTGGAGGAATTCCTCATACATTCTGAAAACTTGCCTATTCTTTTTCTTTTTTTTAAATCTTTTTTTAAAGGTTTATTTATTTGAGAGAGAGAAAAATAGAGAAAGAGAAAGAGGCGTGAGTGAGGGGAGGGGGAGGGACAGAGAGAGAGGGAGAGAGAATCTCCAGCAGACTCCCCCCTAAGCACAGAGCCCGATGCAGGACTCAATCCCACAACAACTAGATCATGACCTGAGCCGAAACCAAGAGTTGGATGCTTAACTGACTGTGCCACCCAGGCGCCCCAAGAGAAAAGATATTTTAAAAAAATATATGTATGTATGTAAGATATGTATTTATATGTATATATATCATCTGATGTCATTTCTCTTTAGCCTGAAAAACTCTCTTTAGCATTTACTGTACTGCACACCTCTCTGCTGGTGATGAATTTTCTGTTTTTGTTTATCTGAAAATGTCTTTATTTAGCTTTCATTTTGAAGGCTATTTTTGTTGGACCTAGAATTCTGGGTTGACATTTTTTTTTCTTGCGGCACTTAACAAATGTTGTTCCATTATCTTCCAGTGTTCTTTTTCATTTTTAGTGAGACGTCAGCTGTATTCATAACATTGTCCCCTATATGTAATGTGTTATTTTTCTCTAGCTCTTCTCTTTATCTCTGGATTTCAGCAATTTGACTATGATGTGTCTGGGTGTCATTTCTTTTTTAAGATTTTATTTTTTTTCAAGTAATCTCCATGCCCAGTGTGGGGCTCGAACTCACAACCCAGAGATCAAGAGTCGTACACTCTTCCACTGAGCCAGCCAGGTACCCCATCTGGGTGTGGTTTTATTTGTACTTATGCTATTTAGGATTCTTGAACTTATTGGTTTTATAAATTGATGTCTTTCACCAAATTTGAGAAGTTTATGGCTATTATTTCTTAAATATTTCTTCAAATATTTTTTCTGCCTTATTCATTCCTCTCTGTTTTACTGTCTCCATGACTACTCTAGGTACCTCAGATAAGTAGAATCATACAATATTTATATTGTTGTGTCTGGCTTATTTCACTTAGCATAATGTTTCAAAGTTCACTCATGTTGTAGTATATATCAGAATGTCCTTCCTTTTTAAGGCTGACTAGTATTCCATCCATTGATCTGTTGGGGGCATGTGGGTTATACCCACCTTTTGGCTATTGTGAATAATGTTGCTGGGAACATTGGTGTACATACTTTTTAAAAAGGAGTTATCTAATAACTCATTTAGTATGTATACCTAGAAGCAGAAATGCTGGGTCACAGAGTATTTGTAATATTATTTAACTGAGTGTTTCCAGATGGTTGACCAGAATGGCTGTACCAGTCTACATTCTCATCCGCAATGCATGAGGATCCCTATAGTGCCCCATCCCACCAACAGCTTTCTAATTTTTGCCAGTCTAGTAGCTTGGAAATAATGCCTATTTTTCTGATGGCCAATTTCTAGTGTTTAAAATCTCTCTTTTGTTAAAAAAATAATAATAAAACAAAAACGAAAACCCAGAGGAAGCTCTGTGGACATACCCACCATCCTTTGCCCTAGTATTTAGCCAGTTCCTGGTTAGGAAACTATTCTAACCTAATCTTTCTTGCTGCTGATGAGCTTGGCTTACTTAGTCTGTTTGTTTAAATCAAGAAGGCATGGGAAGGAGCCCTAGGCTTCCACAATCTCATTATGGACTGTTTTCTCCTCCAGCCCTTAACCTCAATAGAAACCTGCCCAGATCCTGCCACTCAGGTCTCAGACTCCCCAGAGTTTCTGCCAAGCAGGACCGGGACTACCAGCTCTGGAAGCAGTAGCCCCAAGGTGGATACAGTGGTCTTTAAATACAAGCAGCACCCCCTCCCCCAGGACCTCATCCAGGGGAAAGTATCAAAAATTTCTCTTCCAACAAAATCCCAGAGCTTCTTAGGAAGTCTGAAGCCAAGCTGGACTGCGCCACAGAATGAGACGACGAAGCAGCCTCTGATGCCAGAGCTGTTCACCAAGGTTCCACTGAGGGAGAAGCTCGCCCTGTTCCCAGCTTACTGCAACCCAAAGCTGGGGCCAAATCACAAGTCACGTGAGTGCCAGTGGGTCCAGGCGTGTGCCAAGAGCTTAGGGGACGGGGTCGCTAACAGAAGCAGTCCTTGCCTTGGAGGAGGGCCCAGTCTGGGGTGGCGGTGGGGGATGCAGCCCCCGCCCTCAGGGAGACCCCCCCGGCCTGGTGGTGGAGACATAGTCCACATCCTTAGGGAGTCTCTGGTCTTATTGAAAATACAAAAAAAAGGTAAAAACAGAACGCTTTTGACAAGCACCCTGTTTGACAATTCCTGGTTGTCGTTCAGGTGAGGTGCATTCAGCTGAACGTTCAGTGGAGGGGCAAGAAGTACGAAAACAGGGAAGAGAAGCTACTTGCAGGAGAGGACCAAAGGCGGGTTCTGGTTCAGGAATGTGAGCTGGCCTGAAGCCAGCAGACCCCGGTGGGAGGTGGCCTCGGCCAGCAATGGGCGCCTCGCCCCGCAGCACAAAGGGATGATGCCAATGACTTCGCCTTTCCAGAAACCCACTGCCTGCCCTGGGAGTGCTACTGCAGCAGCCGAAGCTCCAGCGAGAAGAGGCAGCTGCGTCTGTCTTCCGTCCTGCTCCTGCCCGGTCCTCCCAGCCGCGACGTGTCTCCCAGTGATCTGCTGGTGGTTGCCACCCCGGCCCGACTGGATCCGAGGCCCCGCAGGAGCCACAGTGGCGCCGCGAGAGACCCGAGTCAGGAAGCGTATAGCCGCAGCCTGATCTCTGGCCCAAAAGGATATGAGAGGGACTAGGTAGGTCCACCCATGTGCTTGTTTCACCGGCTGGCACCGCGTGTGTATATTTCTGGAAAGTCGGGGAGGTAGGTGGATGGCTGGACTGATAAAAGACATACAGCTAAGTGAACAATTAAGACTGACCTCAGTCAGGGGCGCCTGGGTAGCTCAGTCGTTAAGCGTCTGCCTTCGGCTCAGGTCATGATCTCGGGGTCCTGGGATCGAGCCCCACATCGGGCTCCCTGCTCAGCGGGAAGCCTGCTTCTCCCTCTCCCACTCGCCCTGCTTGTGTTCCCTCTCTCGCTGTGTCTCTCTCTGTCAAATAAATAAATAAAATCTTAAAAAAAAAAAAAAGACTGACCTCAGTCAAAATGTGACACACACAGCCCCCCCCTTGCAATGTGTGATTCTGCTATGACCACCATGTCCCCACTGCTTTGGGGGTACTTTGCTTGTCTTCCACGATGGCTACAGTTGAGAGTCATTAACGCGGGTCCCAGAAGTAGAACCACGTCAGCTGTGAGGTTGATTTCCACATGTTTTGTTCTGTGCCAGCCTGGCCTTGGCCCAGGTCGCTTGTCCCCAGAGCTGTCCCTGTCATGACAGGCACTGAAGGGACAGAACCAACAGGACACTAGGGACTGAGAAGATCTGAAAACAAAGACCTTGGAGAAGCTTTGATGCCACCGCATGCACGGACAGAGGAGAGAACGAGGAGCCCTCTGTCAGAACACAGGGCTACTGCAGGAGGGTGGGGGGTACCGACTTAGAAGAGCTCTACAGCGTAGTGCCATGTGGGGTAGAGAGACTCGTATTGCTTGGCTGCCTAGAGAAGAAGACTATGCATTTTTTAAAAAAGATTTTATTTACTTGTTTGAGAGAGAGCATGCATGAGCAGGAGGAAGTGCAAAGGGAATGGGAGAGGGAGAAGCAGGCTTCCCGCTGAGCGGGAAGCCCACCACAGGGCTCGATCCCAGAACCCTGAGATCACGTCCTGAGCCGAAGGCAGACGCCCAACTGACTGAGCCACCCAGGCGCCCCAAGGCTACGCATTCTAATCATCTCCCTCACTCCTGCCACTAAAGCAGCCTGTGACCACCAGTTTGGCCCAGCCCCCTCGTGACCAGTAGCTCACGCTGCACGTGGGCGGACGAGTAAACATCAGCCCACAGACATCACTTTGGGTGCTTGTAAAAATCCATATCCCAGGGCCTGCTTCTAGAAATTCTGATTCAGGAGGTCCTGGGGGTGGTGCCAGGAATCCGCATTTGAGAAGGTCTTCTCCATGATTCTGATGCCCTTCTCACCACCCTCAGAGAAAAACTAGGCCTAGTGTTTCCCAAACTTCCCTGACAATATGAATCATGGGGGGGGGGGCCCTTGTTAAGCCTACAGTTTTTTGGGTCACACCCCTGAAACTTCTGACACAAGAGGCTTGGGATGAAACCCTGGGAATCTGTCTCTTGAATAAGTATCTCAGCTGTGGTAGTGAGGACTGTCCTACATCTAGACCTAGGCCTGGGCAGAGGAATCTGTGACAGGCAAGCCTGACCAATGGGCCTGTTATTGGAACAAAACTCCCCGACCCTTATGGAGCTCGAACCCACCCCTACTATATTCGGTTTGTAATTTTCCAGTACTAAAATTAAAAAAAAGTTTTTTAAAGATTTATTTATTTATTTTAGTGAGAAAGAGAGAGAATTGAAACCAAGAGTTGGAGGCTTAACCGACTGTGCCACCCAGGCGTCCCCGTACTGGTACTTATGTGCCTGATAACTCATCATCAGGTTTGGGTTATAGTGAGCTAGAAACAGGGAGATCTTTTTGCTTAGTTGAATCTCTGACATCAGGCGCCCCTCTTTGTGTCATTTTTTTTCTTTTTAACTTATTTTATTTAAATTAAATTAGTTAACATATAGTGTATTATTAGTTTCAGATGTAGAGTTCAGTTACTCCTCTGGTGCATGTTAACACCCAGTGCTCATTACATCATCTTTGTGTCATTCTTCAGCAAAGTCCAGCTTGGGTTCAGACTCCCTGAGAAGCTCTGGGATGTTGTTGGCAGAAAAGTTTTTGGTATTTTCTCCTCAGTGAGTGAAAATAAGTTCAAAAGTAAAGATAAATAGGTAGCTAGTTCTTTAGGAGAGACTTGTTTCCCTGGCTCTAATTTCTAAGAGCAGTTTGTCATACGGAGTCTTCTGTTACAGACTTTTACTATTATAGTGGACAGTGGCCATAGACACTGACTTTTTAATGAATATTAATGATGGTAATAGTTACCCCTTTTTTGGTAGCCTACCATAGAGATGCCAGAACACTTCTACATATATTTTTTTTTATCTAATTTCATTCCAATCACAATTGTGCCCTTTAGAAAAGAAAAAAAACTGAGGCTCAAAAAGCAGAAGGCCTAACCTTTGGGAGGTCCCATAGCTCTTAAGTGGCAGAGCGAGGATTTGAGTCAGATGGTTCTGATTCCCAAACCATACTATCCTTCTTTCCAATGGCATTTTTAGTAGTCTTCAGTTTGAGCTAAGGGCATAGGAAATAGCTCTGCAGGTAGCAGAGGTAGTCAAGACCAGGCAGGGCCTCTTAGCATGCTGTGTGGGGTCCCCAGATCTCAGAGCTGGCTCTCTGCTCTTATGTCAAGTGATGGCTTCTAAAAATCCCCAATTAATCAGTCTGCAAAGGACTGACACATACAAGGCAAACTCATAAAATCTAGTTATATACAGGGCAATGCCCCACAATCGATGCATTGATTTACAAATGGAGGATGATGTGGCTTAAGAATAGGACTTCTGCGTAATAAATAATGGTTGAATGAAAAAAGGAAAGAGTAGAGCAGAGGTCCAAATTATGGATCAGGGGCTCTCCTGGTTGGTGTAATACCTTCCACACATCAAGTAGAGGTGCCATGTCTCATGTAATCCTCAGGTCAATGCTGTGAGTTTGGCAAGAAGACATCATTATTTATCCTCAATTTGCAGATGAAGAGAATTAAGGTTTGGGGACAGTAAATGACTTGCCCAACCTCACATAAGTGATGGCTTCTGGACAAATAGCACAATGTTTCTTCCATCTTGCCCCATGTGAGGAAGGGAGCCCTGACAAATTCCTCCATGTTTCTACTTAAATCACTACAATCTCATCATCCTTCCTCTGGATCCGCTTTCACAGTGGGTCGGTCAATGAGCCTCGGGTTTCAGATCTGTCAACAGTTGAGTTTTAAGGGATAAATAGCCCTTTCTGTAGATTTTAAGATGATTAAAAGCTTGCTAAAGTGGGGTGCCTGGCACCCTAGGGAGTACATGGTAACTGCAGTGGTGATGATGATCATGAGCATGAGGATGATGATGATACTGTGTTGATGGTGATGAACCCAGCTGGGACTGAAGCAAGACACGCTTGCTTTTGGTGTACTAAAAGCTTTGCATACATCCTCTCAATCCTCAAAGCAACTCTGTGTGGTAAGTGCCATTGTAATTCTCTTTTTTCAAAGGAGAAAGCCAAGGGCCAGAGAGGTTAAGTAACTTGCACAAGGACACTCAGAGCTCCTACGGCTTGTGCACTTAACCACTACCACTTCTTGTCTCTGACCAGCCATCTTGGCTGCTCTTAAATGGTCCATATCAAGTGTCTGGGGCCGTAAGGATGCAGGAAGATGAATGGTACGTAGGTAAAATGAGTTTCTGGTGACTGGATGTGGATCACTTGGGTGCCTCCTGACCTACTAGACAGGATGGTGACGAGAGTTAATTGACTTGGATATCCTAGAGGACATTTTAAAGGAAAATCTAAGAAAAAAAATGTGTTTTTCTTTTTCTTTTCAGAATCAGACTGGATCCCTGCCATTTTCCCCCCTTTCCACCTCTTACTCCCAGGAAATGATTTATCATTTCTTAAAGTGTCTACAATGTCCGTAGAGTCAACTGAAAGTTTTATTTCCTCATCTAGATATCGTGGTCTTATAACTACCTCCCATTAACACCACTGGGCCAACAGCCTTGTCTTTTGTGCCCTCCCAGTTAGCTTACAGTGCTGTAGGACCATGACTTCTGAGACGTATTGGTGCTGCCCCAGGACACACCCCAGTTGCCCCACCAGTGGCATTCCTATGGATCCCTCAGATGGCACTATCATCCAGAACACTCCCCCCAGAGAAAGCAATGTGAAGGGAGGAGTGTTTCAGAGAAGGACTCAAAGTTTCCAGGAATCCAAAGCCCTCAGTCTACCAACAGGTCTGTGTCAGTTGGTTTTGAACCCCAAAGAGAAAAGACAGAGAAAGGGCAAGGCATGGTGGAGGATTCTGAGCCCTGAGTAAGGGAATTGGGGCAGGTATAACTTTACCACATACAGATCAGACCTCCTCCCACCTGAGCCACCTCAGTGCCCAACACCTTCCTGCTACCTCCCCCCTTACCAGTCCACATCCACATCAATCCTGCTGATGAAGAAGTGAGGCGAGAGTACCCAGCCTGCAGGTGTTTCTTCCACCAACCTGCAGAAATGATGCATCTTCCCCTGAAGTGTACATTAAAATAAATTGCCATGCTCAATGCCGGGATTGTGAGCCTGATTCAGAGCGAGAATGGGAAGGGGGAAGTGGGAGAGAGAGTTCTCCTGAGCACTCCTCATTAAGAAAGCTCCAAATTCACCAAAAATGCGTCAGGAGCCTTTGAAGAATTTTTTTGGATGAATGGTAAGCCCTGCCCTCCTTGCTGGGAGCCTGGTGTCTGAGGTGGTCCTTTTGGGGGCTCTGAGGCTGCCATGTATCTGCCCAGTATCAACCCTGGCTAGACTCCGGGCATAACATTTCATTTTGCCGGTTCATTTTCTACCCTCTCCAAGAATGTGATCCAAGACTTTGCCTTACTTGCTCTTTCTGAGTTAGATCCCAGGAATGAGCTTTGGAGGAGTATGGGGCAGGGGTGGAAGAAGAGTGAGGTCTGAAGTCAAGAACCCGCTTCACAATATTGATTCGGGTTTGCTTTATGAAGTCCTAATGGGATGAATTTCTGGCCTCAAGGATGTCAGGGGATTCTAGGATATTTGAAGCCTATAGTACTCCTCACTTAATTATCCAAAGTAGTGAATGGAGAAGCCATTTGTGTCCAGCTGTGAAGCACACATATACACAACACCTTCATCTCTACCTAGGCCTGGTTTTCAAGGACTCCTGGTGTAGAGTTCTTCTTAGTAAGTAAGTCAAGGCCCATCTGGATGGCAGAAGAAGGAAGCCCTGATTACATCTAGGGAGACTAGTAAAAAATTAACCCTCCTGGGGCACCTGGCTGGCTCAGTCAGTGGAGCATGTGACTCTTGATCTTGGGGTTGTGAGTTTGAGCCCCACATCGGGCGTAGAGAAAACTTAAAAAAAATTAACCCTCCCTCTGCCAGCCCTTTCCCAATGCCATTTAGAAGCCTCCAAACGGACTGATTGAAGGCCAATTTTTCCATTGTCATTATCAGCTTGCCATAGATTATAGCCTGGACTACATGAAAGCTGTAAGAATTGCTGAAATGGGGCTTTCTAGAACCTCTACATCTCTCCCCTTTTCTCCCTAGTCACCAGCCCCAGCCAGTCAAGGTTCCTAAGCTGATAAAAAGGAAGTCTTTTAATAAGGTGAAGTCAGAATTATTTGTCTTTCTAGGGGACAATTTGGTGCCAGCACCTTTGATCCTAGAAATAGGCTCAGCTTCATGGGCATGCCATCTGTGTAGTCTCACATGGCTCCACACTTAGAAGGGCCCTGCACTTGGTTAAATGCTCTGTTGTCACCCTCTTGAAATTCTGAGCAGTTTTTGAACAAGGAGCCCCGCATTTTCATTTTGTACCCACCACGTTATGTAGCCAGTCCTGCTTAGAGACTTCAACAGGTCTGGGTTAGCCAACGAGAAGGCAAAATGGCAGGCCCCACCCACCTCCTGCTTGTTCACCCATAGGGCTATGCAGAGCAACTGTCTGCTGAATGCTTGTGGGGGACAAAAAATGCTTGTGGCAGACCTTACCCTCATGGAGTGTGCAGTGGAGTAAGATAGGTCCACAGACAGCTGGCCTGAGTTAAGTGCCACTATCAAAGAGTGTCATTAGTTGAGAAGGAAATGCCTTCACACCAGCTGAGAGGATCAAGTCCCCTTCTTCAGAGGAGGTGACATTTGAGGTGACAGGAAAAGATAAATATGATCTTAAACTGTTTTAAAAAGATTTATTTTAGAGGTGGGGAGAGGGGCAGAAGGAGAGGGAGAAGAGAATCTCAAGCAGACTCCCCACCGAGTGTGGAGCCTGATGTGGGGCTCGATCCCACAACCCTGAGATCATAACCTGAGCTGAAACCAAGAGTCAGGTACCTCACTGAGCCACCCCGTCTCCCCACAATATGATTTTAAAAAGTGGATATGAGGTGTGGTATGAGGCATACTGGTCTGGAAGAAAACAAAACAACCCCGAACATGGTCGAGAAGTAAAGTTTAGTCCAATCTGGCTGGAACTGAAAGGAAAATTGGGAGGTGACAATGGGAAGATAGTGTGTGAGACCGTACTGGAGACCACGGTGCCCTCATTTATTTCATCCTCGTGATGGTGAACTTGTTTACGTGGCTGTCTCTCTGAGGCGCTGTACCATGTCTTTAAATCTTTATATCCCCTGCTTTTAGCCTAGTGCCTAGGACATGATAAAAATTCAGTAAATATTTGCTAAATAAGTGAATATTGAGGGTCTAAAATGTTATCCTGGGAAGTGTTTACATAATCCAGTGGAAAACCACTGGAGGCTTTGAATGGGGGATTTTAGTGTTACAAAGTCAAATCTGGTAAAAGATAGTAGAATGGATGACTGGCAAGGGGAGAGACCCAGTGTGGGTGAGTGGTTAGGAGGCTCTTCTGGTGGCCCAGGTTTCAAGACTTTCAGCCCCTCTTAGGATGACGGCCCATGGGAAAGAGAAGGAGGCAGGTGAGAAAAGCACCATAGAGCCGGGACATTGCAGCTGAGTGAATGGAAGGGAGTAGAAAAAGGGAGCAACAGTGACAGCTTCAAAAGAGCTGAGTCCCGTGCCTGGGTAGCGCAGTTGGTTAAGCATCTGACTCTTGATCTCAGCTCAGGTCTTGATCTCAGGGTTGTGAGTTCAAGCCCCATGTTAGGCTCCACGCTGGGCATGGAGCCTACTTAAAAAAAAAAAAGAAAGAAAGAAAAGAAAGAAAAGAACCGAGTCCCCTCAAAAAAAAAAAAAAGAAAAGAAAAGAAAGAAACATTGGGAGAGGGAGCTTTGGGGGCAGGGAAATCAGAGCATCCGTTTCGTAAAGCAGATGGATGAGTTCCTGTCCCCAGATATATTTAAAAGAGCAGCACTGAAGGAAAACCCTCCAAGTGCAAAAATGATTTTCCTGAAGACCAGCTGGTTAAAAATAGCCATCTTGGACTGGGCAGGTTCTCCAGGCTCAGAACTAGCTGCGCAGCTGAAAAGACAAGTGAGCTCCCACCCCCTGAAAACCAGAATAGTCAGTCTGGGGTAGGGTGTTGACCTGGATTAGAAAGCTCCCCCGGAGGGTTCTGATGCATAGCCATGTTTGGGAACCACTTATCTGGCTCGCCCCACACTGGACAACCCCTAGCCCACCTCGCACAGGCCGGGGAAACTCTCCCTAGCCTTCAAAGGGCTATTATAGATTCCGGTTTTCCTTCTACTCTGATGGGGAGTGGAAGTCAGGCAGATTGGCCGCTTGTTCGAGCATCCTCCCCCACCCGTCCTGGTGATTACATGAGTCCACTATAATCATTCACAACCCTTGTCTTTAGGGCTGGCATGTCACTTAGCTTAATTACAGCACATAGTGGCATTTCAATTCAAGGAATCTAAAAAAGCAATGAAATGGGTTTTGCAAATTGTCAGGAAGGCAATGAAGACGGTGGAACTGCAATTTACTAAGCATTGCTTTCAATTATTTTGCATTCTTCAGCCATGACTCTAAGTTATTAACCAGCAGCCTGGGAAAGCCAAGTAGGTACTGTGTCGTGTGGAGGGTATTTCATGACTCGTTGAGTGCGCACTTTGTGCTGGGGGAGGTGGCTGGAGGCTCTGGGAGCGGTCTCGGGGTGGGAGGGATTGTGATTGCTCTGAGCATGTGTTCTTCCCATCAGTCCCTTGCTAATCATACGTCCTCCATGACTCCCCTGACCCATAGACTCCGACTGGTCTGGGGTGACCTTCAGCAAGGGTCTCCCGTCCTCTTTACTCCTGACCTGTCTACTATCCCCCAGAAAACATGAGGAAAGAAATGTGGGAAAACAAAACAAATCCTTTAAAAAAAATCTAGAATCGGTGCCTGGTTTCTCTGGCTCTCTGTCTGATTTCTTTTCCTGGCTTATTTCCTGATTCCTCTCAATCCTTGGGAATGTACTTCTTGTGCAGCCATTTTAAAAGGGAAAGACTGTGCCATCACTCCCCCAGCCTGCTTTCTCAAGCCCAGGAGTCTTAGGAATGAAAAGGGCCCCCATCGATCTGAGAAAAGGGTGGAAGCAGCAGGACATTGAGCAGGCGTGCTGAGACCGATCCCTCTTGATATGAGCAACATTGGTTGGCGGGGTAATTGGGAAGAATGCCAGCTGCCTCAGCAGTCATGCCAGGCGGGAGAGCAAACACCAAAATCCTGTTGGCAAACCCAGCAGGGCCATCACAATGTGGCCAAAGCAAACAGGGGCTGAGGCAGGCCCGCCGCAGTGGCCTCTGGCTTCCCCTTGGCTCTGGCACGGGGGGGGGAGACTGAGCCAGCAGAGCCACGTGTCAGGGCATCGAGTTGCCGTGGGGATGCTTATACCCATCCCTGGGTGAGGGCCCAAGCTGGACCCTTGCTTTACTTGCCGTGGTCCCCTTTCAATTTGGGATAGGCCAGGGAAAGTCTGATACTGATAAAGCACGTTCACATGTATTGCTTTGTTTATTCTTCACAGCAGTCCTGTGAGATCAGTATTATCCCCCTCTTGCAGACGAGAACACTGAGGCTAGGGGCCATCCAAGACACAGAGCCAGCACTTAGTCTTGGAGCCTCTGACTCAGTGCCTGCCGCACTTCCCATTCTCTCCCCTTCCACCTCTCCACCCTGAACTCACCGAAGTCAGTTCCCACCATCTGAACGGGACTTGGGTTCTTTCCATTTCATAGCTGAGAAGCAGAAGCTCAAAGGAGATGTGTGTCTGGGTGTATGTTTGTTTTTATTTTTTATTTTTTAACAAAGATTTTATTTATGCATTTGAGAGAGAGAGAGAGAGAGCACACAAGCAGGGGGAGAGGCAGAGGGAGAGAGAAACAGATTCCCTGCTGAGCTGGGAGCCCCACATGGGGCTCGATCCCATAACCTGGAGATCAGGACCTGAGCCAAAGACAGACACTTAACCATCTGAGCCACCCGGGTGCCCCGGTATGTTTGTTTTTAGACCAGAAAATAGCTAGTTGAGGTCCCAGATTCTGTCTGCCACACCCACCAACCAGAGGCCCCGTGAGATGAATATATTTACGAATATTTCCAATTATTTGGCTATTTCAAAAGCGTTCCCCCCCCCTTTT